GTTCCATAATCTAAAGATTTCCCTAAGGTTACCTAAGCCATGAAAAGTAAAGTAACATTTATCTTTTACACAGAGTTTCTACAAACTCTCTCCACAACGAGGAATTTATCTTCGAAAGTGGATATGTTTCACACCCAGATCTCATCTGTTAAAATCTTGATGATAAATTCTCTTTGCGTAGTTTAAAAACGTCAACTCGACGTTTACTGAATATGTACGTTCAAAGTCGCTTAGCGAAGTTTATTTCTTTTGTGGTTTTACTTCATATGCACAGATACTAATCTTCACAAGTTGTCTCCCCGGCCTGCGGGAAGACAACTTTAGTTGTGAAGATCGAGTGAAACTCTTTCCTTGTTTACGGATTTTACTTAAGATGCACAGACGTAAAGGATAAACAGGATTGTTTAACGAGTTCATGTCGTGAGTTGCTGGGCATCTTGAAAGTCTTGGTGAATGCTGTAGTCATGGTTGGATCTATAGTAGGAAAAGGAATAACATGCTTCCTACTTATCAGATTCAGAACTTTAAGAACAGTTCCCAACATCCTCATATATATAAAGTATATATTTATTTCTCTTTTACACAGAATTTCTACGGGGGCGTATAAGTTGAGGTTATGAAATATTTCCTTGAAGTAGCATCTTTTTCCTTCTGCTACCGTTATTAATATTAATTCCCGCTGGTGGCAATTTTCATTTTCAGGCTTTATTTACACATGCCTAGAATAATCATTAACTGTCTTCCGCTGTCAACCTCTCAAAAAAAATCTAGTAACTTCTTTGCCTTTCATCCTGCACTTCGTATCACTTGAAGATTTCAAAACATGAAGCTGTCTGTGAACCACGCAGATGTCCTTACGTTTTGGAACCTATCCATTGAAGAAAAATAAAGCCACTTCTAAAAGAAAATTAAAACTGTGTAACCGCTCTGTCATTAAGTTTCTTCCTCTAGAGTAAAAATTCACATGATCATATAATTTGAGGTGGAAGACGTTGTACAAGAACATTTGTACTGGACATGTTAAGGTTGCAGCTGTCTAGCGTTTCGTTCTAGTGTAGGAATAAAGTTGAAAGATGAATTAAGTAAAGTACCTTTTTTTACATCTTAAATTTTCTCAGCGTTAACTAGCAATTTGTTTTCAGACATGATTAGGGGATGTTACAATAGAGAGAACTAGAAAGAGAACTTAAGCAGAGGAATACTCTAGACGCGGTTAGCATGACGCAAATTGACAAAGGCCGCTTTGACAAAGCCACCTTGACGCAAATGAATCGACCGTACGATGTGGCTCTAACATTCTAAACCAAGTTGTGCTAATCATAGTTAGCATCAGGAGTGAGTAGTTTTAACTTTCTATTGACGTCCGCCTAATATGACGTTGTTTTAAACTTTACCCAAGGCCAACTTCTCAATGTTATCTTTACCATCCCGAATTTTCGATTGCACAGCACAAGGAACGCTAAAGAGCAGGAATTCAAAATAATGTAACGGCAAGGTAAAATATAGATTGTATTCACTGAAAAATATTTTACAGAAAAAAGTCCTTATTATTTTTCCTTATTTAATACGTTTCTTTGAAGAAAGAACGAGAGCAGTTGAGACTGTGGTATGTTGTGCACAAAACACCTGTAGTGAAAAATAATTCCATGTAAGCCAAGAAGTAAAAAATTAACATATAAAGTGCATTTTTTAAAACAGTTTTTCCTTTGTTTAGTCACAAACTTTTTTTATAAGAGAACTGTTCTATGAGTTATTTCGCTCTTTGGGAATTCGAGATAAGTTGGAAGCAAAAACCCAACCTAATGAGAACCTTTGAAAAGCGACGGAGTTGGATGTTTGACAGAAATACACCTAATAAGACGTCTTTCAAGGGCCTACCGTACATGAATTATTCATCATATAAGAAACTCATCGTGTAAGAAATTCGAAGAAAAAACCAGAAGGCCCTTTGACAAAGTAATTTCACAAATGAATTCAGGATACGCAAATTATTGGTTCAAAGGGAAACGAATCCAAATGAATTTTCAATGCGAACAGCCTACCTCATGATTTTGTTTATCATATAAACACAATAGCCCTCTACCGACAAAGAAAGCCGACCTCATTGAGGTATGAAAGTAATTGAATCGACAATCCCGAATAACAATCGCAAAGTGCGTTGGTGGTATCTCTTAAGATGGAAAAATGCGTTGAATCGTGATTACAAAAACAACAATGGTCGTAATTCTCGATTCACAAAATTATTATTTATTGACTTTGTCCATAAGAAGTCTTTCAGGTAAACGGCCAAAATCGGTCAGTGGCAAATCTTTCAGTTGTCGATTTTCATTGGCTAGAAATGCCAACACCAAAGCCACTGAATAGGTAACTTTCGGTTTTTATTATCCTATCTTGGTTTTCTTCACCTTCTAGGAGAGTTTGAACCTCACTGTCTGTCAGCGATTAGGATTTTTTGGTGATTTAGCCGCCATAATCCAAGAGAGTTCCGGCAAACTACCTTGTATTGAGAATCGTAAAGGCTTTGCCGTTCATTCATCAACCGAGTGGCGCCAAAGGCGAGTGACGTTTCAGCAGCTGATATCTCGACGCACGTGAAAAAATACGTTTTGTATAACACCGCAGTTTATGTGATAAATTTCTTTTTTTGAGGAGAATTTCTCTGTTTCGTCATGTTGTAAGCATGTTGTTCAAAACAAAGAGATGCACTATTCTGACAGTTACAGTTCAGCGAGATTGCTTTAGCGAGAGTTCAGTACTCCATAATTTAGTTCTGGAAGGCGGGTCAGAATATATTTACCTGTTATGCTTTTACAAGCAAACAATTAAAACCGTCTAGTCATAAATACAATTGTTGTTAGGTCGTTAGCAAGATTAAAATTTTACCGAAGCTTCGGCGAAAGTAAATTTAATTTCTACACCTGATGATCATGCCTAACAGAGCTACCGTATTATTAATTTTATTATTAAAAAAATGGATATTCTGTAAACAAGTAGTTGGGAAAAGAAACTGGAATGTTACTTTGTGTATTAAACGTAATAGGTTCTGCGTTATATTAGGGACCTTAAGCATCGACAACGAAATGCACGACTACGAGGTTCGCAACCCAAGGAGGATTTGGTCGAGGGTTTCGTTCTCGGCGGGAAAAACGAAAGTTAAGCAGTGTGTTGTTTTGAGGCGACGACGAGTTTTGGTTCTCTGACGAGTTGCTCTTGTTATGGCTTTCAAAAACGTCCGAAATCTGCTTCTAATTAATCACAACGATGGCTTTTTCGATGATGATGAATTTGTTCCGTACGACCTCTATCCATCGAAAAACCTCGACTTTCCGTACGATTCGTACGCACCTTTCGACCTGAAAGAGCTTGATGAGTCTGAGAGTTTCGTTTTGGAAAACTAGATATTCGAATTCTGAAGGAAGTTTTGGAAATCCCAAACACGATTACCTGCAGTCAGCGCTCTGTTTGTGATGAGAAGGTCTTTACATGCTGCTAAAGCGGCTTTCATACCCATCCAGATATAGAGACATGATCCATAGGCTCGCTACTGTTCCAGTTCTTAGCATGATCACCAATCAAACGATTGACTATGTGTATAATGTTCATGGGAACAGAGTACTAAACTGGAATCATGAGGTCCTCAGCCCTGTCAACCTGCAGACTTAAGTTGATGCTCTGACAGCCAGGGGAGCCCCACTGCCCAATTGTTTTGGATTTATTGACGGTACCGTTAGGCCTATATCAAGACCTGGAGAACATCAGCGACTTCTTTACAATGGCCATAAAAGGTTCATGCCCTGAAATTTCAAAGCATTGCTTTGCCAAATGGCAATCGGAAGTCTATGTGGCCCAGTACAGTACAGTACACAGTACAGGCCACCAGCTTTAAAGCAGGGATGTGACCAGCTTTTTAAGCAATGGAAGACCTGATAAATGCATGACACCAAATGTTAATTTTTGTAGGCCTTGTACGTAGTTAAAAAAGGGGAAAAGATTCGGAAAAAACTGAAATATTTTGCAAGGCTATAGGACAGCTATGCGCTTGCCTGGGGTGGCAAGAGATACAGAAAATCTTACATTTCTTTTGAACTGGTTCTTGCTCAGCTGTATAAATGTGGCCGGCCATTGTTTCGGATGCTTCTGAAAGAAAAGTCATTTTAGTTTGTTAAAAATCGCTAAACTGTTGAACATTTAACTTCCGCTGGTCTTCAAACAATACATCTAACAATCATCACATCAAAAGGTGGAAATGGATGATTATCAGCATGTAAAAGTTTAGTTGTTTACTTACGTTATCACCAGAACGTAAAACCTGCTCAGATTCAGTCGTCGACGAAGACTGGACGACGTTTTGACAACATCGCACATGCGCAGAACGCTCGCGTGGGAAAATTTTACTTTCGCCCGTCGTCCTCGTGCCATTTCGTTGTCGATGCTTAAGGTCCCTATTCTTAAAGGTTGACAACACTTCGTGTCTTCCTTTAGCCCGCTTCCCGTTTCTCAAGCTTATAATTGTGAGCAAACGTTACATTTGAAGGTTGAAAACTAAAAAAATGTCTGCAATGAGCGCTGATTTTCTCATTCCTTGGTCTTAGGGAGCATCAGAAAGAAAATATCCCGAAAGTAATCAAGGGAACCTCAGATGTGAAGATCGAAGGAGAGGTTATCATCCTTTGCAGTTTATGGTTGGCGAGGTTTGACCTGCACGAACAGTCTTAAACGATGAATGAAACTTTTCAGTTACATTCATGTCGTGATTCGCAAAGAATCTCAAATATCTTCATGATTGCTGTAGTCATGATTGGATCTATAGTTGGAAACGGCTTAATTTGCCTCTTACTTATAAGATTCAAAACTTTGAGAACAGTGCCCAACATCCTCATCGCCAACTTAGCTGCTGTTAACATTCTCAATGCACTGACCAACATGCCTCTTTTCATCTTGTGGTACATTTGTAAAGTGCCCTTCCTTAAGGGTCGTTTAATCTCCTGGATACTGGTCACATGGTATGTATTGTTTGTATACCTTACCGTGTTCAACCTCACGGCACAGGCGATGGACCGTTTTGGGGCCATTGTGCACGGCTTACATTACTATGCGTGGAAAACAAAGAAAAAAAAGCCAAGGTAGCGGTACTTTTTGTATGGCTTCTCGCGGCCTTATACACATATGGTATGTTTACACTTGGATTGGATATTGATTTAGGCGACGCTCCAGTGCTGGTATACAGGATGACCTACTTGAAAATTTTCGGGAGACACTTCATCATCCCTGGAATTTTGGTTCCATTCTTTTTAATGCTAATATTAGGAGTGGCCATTTGTGTTAAGGTGCGTAATCATAGAAAGCGTTTTTCGACTTTCTTCTCCGTAAAAATTCGATTCGGAAACGACGTAAAGACCGCGAGGACAATTGGTGTAACAGTGTTGGCGTATTTCTGTATGAATGTGATACCAATGTTATTACACAACCTAATGAGACGCCGCGGTAGCTGGACTCACTTCCTCGCGTTCTTTCTCATGAAACTGAACAGCATGGTGAATCCTATCATTTATGCTTTGAAGACTCCAAGGTAAGTTCAGTCTGTGAGGCATGGGGTTAAAAGTTGGCTTTAGGAATTTTAGGAAGACATGTAATTCTTATCCTTACAGAGACTTATGCAAGGTTAAATCTTTTCGTCAAACTGTGTACCAGCATTGACGAATCCTTTTCTAAACTGTCCTTTTTTTTTCTAAATTTATGGCTGCACTAGGTGTTCTAAATAAAAGTCGCACTTTTCAACGGCCTGGTTTTGAATACAAGAAAACTAGGTCCGAAAGGCCACTCAACGAAAAGGCAACTTTATTTAATTATCGAGTTGCTTTTTACGGTAATTCAAACCCAAAATATTGGCCTTCTTTAGTTTATTATCGTTTATGGAAGAATATCCGGGAGACTATAGGAAAGTCTTAGAATTTTGAAACCTCGTAACTGGTCTTTTCTTGTGAATAACAACTCAGAAATGCCAACACATTGCTGTGTTCCTCTGTGTACGAAGAAGGAATGTCGAGTCGAAGTAACTGATGCCAATATTTCTTACTTCCGATTTCCAACCGAAGAAAACCTGAGAAAACAGTGTATTCACCCGATAAGAAGGGGTTTGGGGAAGAATTTCTCTATATTAAATTCAACCAAGATTTTCTCAAGGCATTTTATGGATTTCAAGACCACTCTAACGCATGTGGCGTCTTTAAAAGCGGGAGAAGTGCCTTCAATTTCTGCGTGGAAACGAATTTCTCCACGAAAAAGACCTCCACCTACTCCTCGTTTGACAAATAGGATAGAAATTTTGATTTAGAAGCTACAGGAAGAAAGTCTGGAAAGTGTACGAACTTTTATCGTAAATATGTAAATATTGTTTCAATTGGACATAAACATCTTTTCGAGTGAACTGCACTTTGTGTCTCAAGCGAGGGATGATCTAATCTGTTTCATAATTTATATGCATGCACAGAGATGTTGATGAGATTGGTGATGCTAATTTCTGTTATCTTAGGCCATCTTGTTTTAGTCACTATCACTGTCCATTGCCATGTAATTATAGGATCTTGCATATTACACAACATGGCACACACACACACACCACACTTGATTTACAATGCCAGACTGGCATAGTAAAAGGAATTACTCCTTCAAAAATTGAAAAGTTCTTTACCTTTAGGGGATACCCAGGGGAAGTATGTCTTCAATGGTGAAACTCTTGTTAGCTATTATAGATTCCCCTGTAGAAAAACGGAGGTTTAGAAAACCACTGCGCCCAACCATTTCCTGTCTGATATGCTGCCTATGTAAAACTGTCCAATAAATGTGAAGGACCCCTTAGGTGAAATTCCTTCCTTGTCCCTTCAAACGTGTTTGATGCTTACAAGAACTAAACAGTTCACTTTTTAAAAGAAGACTACTTGGCATATTTTGCCAAGTTTTAATAAAATGAATTTGATCCATGTGATAAAAATTCGACTGACGGTCGACTGAGAAATATGAAATAAGTTGGCTAAATGTTGTTCAGCAAAACCTTGTCTGAGTCTACAGATTGTGAGAAAAACTCATCTAATGGTTGTAAAAATCTTTGCCTTCCCTGTTTCCTTAATTACTCACTATCACTATTAGACCTGACAGTCTCTTTACCAGGTAACCAATAATTGATATTTTCTCTATTAGAACAAGGGTCCAGGATTTCAAATAAAGCCATCATCGTTTGGAAGTTTGGAAAAGCAGTGTAAAATATTAGAAGTGAAGAGTTTGTTTTGATATTTTCAAGTGAAAACAATAGAGTTTTCATTTTTCTTCCTGCAACGAAACCTCTTCCTCCAATTTCTTGTTTTTGGTTAACAATTCAGCAATCTGGTCTTCTAGTTCATAAATTTTGGTATCTTTTACGGATTGACGCTCGGTGAAATAAGAGTCCGGTTCTGTCACCAAAGGTTTTAAATCAATTGCTGTTGTTGTCGATGAAGATGAAGATATCGCACTTGGAATTACGATAGAAGTTTCTACAGTTTCCAGACTTTCTTCCTGTAGCTTCTCAATCAAAATGTCTTTCCTATTTGTCAAGCGAGGAGTAGGCGGAGGTCGTTTTCTTGGAGAACTTCGTTTCCACGCAGAATTTGAAGGCCCTACTCCTGGTTTAAAGAGTGGTCTTGAAATCTTCAGTCTTAAAAAGCTTTAAGCAAACCTTGATTGAATCTGATAAAGAGAAATTCTTCCCCTTGTTCCTGCTTTTTTCGTGTAGTATATCCTTCAACTTCTAAACTGATAACGTACAGTAGTAGGGGCTTATAATCCAACGATGGAAACAGTTTGTTCACTTATATGTCAACAGGTTCCGCAGAGCTCTGGCACTCTTACTGAAAGAACCACATGGCCAATCAGAACCCAATATGAACTCAATATGAACTCGACAGCTGGTTGGAACTTAGACCCGTTCACAAGAGTCTACTGGACTACACCTAAGAAACAATCAGTAGAGTCGTTTGTCTAACTATTTAATCACTTGGCTCACTTTTGTAGTATTTACAGATGTGCAAGAGCTACTCTACTCACATGGAAAAGGAAGCTTAATTTTTATGGATTTTATGCTAGTATAGGAAATAATTTGATAAGTCTTTACTACGTGATAATCAGAAAAAGTCAGTCAAGTCCTGTAGCTAAGATGGTTTGAGATGGACGAATGTGACATCGAGGAAACAAAACTTTAAATTTCAATGTGGTGAATTTTCCAACCCTCGTAATGTTTTGCTGAGAGCTGAAACATGCCGGTACCCTCCAAATGTTTTTTCATCAACGTTGACCGGGGAGGGGGGGAGGGGAGAAAATTGCTTTCACAATTGTCATAAGGATTTTAGCTGTTCGTCTTCTTTGCAAAGCAGCAATTAGTTTTACTGTTACATTGAAATAGAACAGAGACAACAAGGTTAATTAAAATTGATAATGAGTAATAGTAATAACAATAATGGCACATCGCAACCAACCCAAAATGTTTTTAATAAAGTTCCCTAAAGGATAAGGAATGAGATGATAAGAAACATTGCTTGCAACCCTAACCTACATAAGAATAATTCAGCCACATAAAACTAGCCACTAGCAGTTGAATTTTACGCATACATGTAAGCTGGCTGCGGGTGTATTAAAAGGTTAACTATTCTATATTTGAATATAGAGCGAATATTAAAGGAGAGATTATTCTAGACATGAGCAATTTAATGAACAAAGATAAAATCTAAAACATTGTGGAGGTAAGTTCCTCTTTAATAAAATCTCATTTTGATGCCGTAGAGAGAGAGGGTCTCTCGTTTCATGGACTGCCGTCGAATTCTAAAAGTCTTCTCCCTTGTTTGAATCACGGAAATGAAAAGAGATCGCGATCTTTCAAAGGCAATCGCCATATCAAAATCTGCAGCGAACACTTTACTTTGGATGATTTTATTAATCAACACTCCAGTAAAAAACGATCGAAGGCCAATGCAGTTCCTTCGATGTTTTTGTGGAATAAAGAAAAACAGAAGAAGGTTCAACCGGTGAAGAGGTCTGCTTTAGAAAAGCTGGATCAAGGCAGAGCCAAAGAAGAAGAAGCAACGGATACGATAGTAATGGTAGTATCTTTATTTACACTCGATAAAAAATCTTCAGTAAAAACAGTAGCGTCCAGATCTATCTATTTACAAAATTAAATTGGTTAAAACTATCAAAATTCTGTACAAGATTGCCGAGTGAGACTCCCAATGACTCAAATACACAGTTAATTCGCTTTTTAAATTCACCTATTTTTTCTGATTTCTCTAACGTTCTCAGGTGATGAGTTCACATAAGAGAACCGCTGTAACTAAAACTGCGTTTTAAGTTATTAATAGGTGGCCTTGGCTGCGTCAGTTTACCAAAAGAGTTACGCAAATCATAATTTGTGCTTCGCTCGTTAAATAGGTCCCGCAAGTTCATTGGAGCTAATTCGTTTGGGGATTTAAACATCATTATCATCATTATCATCATGTCTTTGTCCTTATTTCTAGTCTGTCCCAATTAAGTATTTCGAGAAGCAGGTTTTTGCTAGTATCGTAATCGGCCTTTAAAATTACTCTGGCTTCTCGGTTCTGTAATTTTTGTAGTTAATTGCTTAACTGAGTACTTAACATGTCCCAAACGAAGGTACAGTGATCAAAGTGAGGTTGGATCAGGGTGTTGTTAACTGGTATGGCGGTAGATTCGGAAGTAGAGGCCTGATACGTCTAAAAAAACCTATTGCGGAAGATACCTTTCTACAAATTTCGTCAACATGCTAATTAAATACCAAAGTTATTACACGAAGTCATATCAAAACTTGTCGGTGTTAAAATTCTTAAAAATGCGAGTTTCAACAGAGCAGTACGAATCAACACGTTCATAGCGTGTTTTTATCGTCATGAACACAAATGAATGATTGCTAATACCAAGATGAACCAAGACCAATCAGTGTTCGTGATATCGGTGTAATCCTGGTTGGTTCAGAAATCATTTGACACAATCCGTAAATATCAAATATGTTCGTCAAATGCGACGAAGTATGGTTGTTTGACCGATCATGCAACATGTCACAATTCAGGCCTCCGAGTAGGTAGAAATCCTTGCGTTCTAAATCAATTTTATCTACCGGGTTTTCAAATCGATCAACAATTTCTTTTTGGGAACTTGGCGGTCTATACCATGCATATGCTTATTAAAAAGGCCTGGAATGCGGTCTGGTGATTTCGATAACAAAACTTTCAAGTTGGTCATCTTTGAAGGCCTCCCAAACACGGTAATTTATGTTGTTTCGTAAATAGACATATGCACCGCCATTACATCTCCTGTTCACGGTACGGTCCCTTTTAGCGACGTCAAATACCGGTAGATTTGTTTCTGAATCACTGATGTAACTATCAAGCTCGGTCTCATTGATCGCTAATAAATCGAGTTTTGAACTACTCATAAATATCTTAAGGTCGTCAATATGGGCGAGTAAACTATTTATAATAAGTGATGCCATGACAAAACCGCGACCAAATGCATTAAATTCCGGTTTCGATGGTTTACCCTTATTGCCGCAGGACTCCCTGGAAGGCATACACTCATTAGATTCCCACTCGACAATATTCTAATCTCCTCTTAAATACTTAATAAAGTATGACGCCAGACGAGCAGTCCTCTGGTGTTCAAGAGGAGACCACTTCTATTCAGGTCGTGATCGACAGAGATATTTGAATGGTCGACATATCCCCAGAAATTCTGGTTGCAGAATTTTCTTAGTATCTTGTCTAAGCTAGATAGATAGATTTAATATGGTCTCTCATGTCCTGCATAGAACAACCTGGAAATGAAGAAATTTTTCTTAAGCAGTACCGGATATTTTACCCCCTTGTAGATTCTTCAAGATGGAGTCTTCTAATATGAAAACTTCTCTTTGCTTGCGTTGTGTGGTCCTGGCTCCATCATCTGTATTTGTATTTTTGTTCGTGCAGTATCTGGTTGGCTTGCTGACGAAGTTTTCGCTTGCGAACGTCTCCTGTTAACCTTTGTGTCTGTCGTAAGCAGATTCCTGAACTCACCGGTCTTCTTTTTTCCAACCAAAATAGAATCATCTTAGGGCTCCGTATCGACACGGTTGTTATGAGGTTGTGTGACCGATGGGTTTTTATACGATCCTTTGGAAACTATTTGGAGTGCTAGTTTGAGCGAATCTCTTTCCTCTCGAGTACCTATTAATTCCTTCTGTGGCTCGAGGCAGCGAACTGTGGTGGCATGTAACTCATGCTGTAAGGCTTGGTTATCTTTCTTTGTAGCAGCAAGTTCTTGCAAGGTATTCGAGGTATTTGTACTTTGCGAACAATGCATGCAGCTCCAAATTTTTGTGATTTAGGCTCGCAATTCTTTAATTTCGCTCAGAACGTCAGGAGGATTATATATGAGGAAGATTATATCTGTAGCAAATTGGATGACCAACTAAGAATTCCCTGTTTACATAAATGTTCTGTATCCCACCTTATTTCTAGATGTACAACTCCAAAGAAAGAGAAGTTGTGGAGTTAGTCATGGCGAATTCACGAGTTACAATTTGTGTTGCCTGATCTAGAGAGAAAAATACTGATTTACTGGGATATTACAACAAGAAAATCCAGTGTCGTCGACACAGAGAAACTATTTGAGGGAGGTACTTATGATCAAGATGAAATCGGTGGAGATGAAGACCTGGACAACACAACTGTTACACGTCCTTCTACCCATAAAAAGTCAATGGAGGATGGATTCCCTCTTGTTCTGATGAAACTGAGAATGGGCTTATCAACTATCGACCTTCCAGAAAGCTTTTTGTGTCACAGAGAGCACAATAGAAAACATATTCCTTACCTGGATTAACTATTCGTATGTGACACCTGGAAGTATCAAGATATAGCCCCACAGCGACTTAATTTTGAAATAATTAACCTAGAGTGTTCATAGAATAGTATCCAAATAACACTGTGATCATTGACGCTACAGAACTAAACATTCAAGTTCCTAGTGCTCTTCAGAAACACAGTGAGACTTACAGCACATCCAAATCTCACACTACCTTAAACTGCCTCCTTGATGTTGATGCTAAAGGGGAAATGAGGGTCCTATTAGTGATAAACAAATTGTGGAAAGATCTGAATTCTTAGAAATTCTAGGACAGAAACTAATTGCTGAATAAAGTAAAAAGGGGAACCATAATTGCAGACAAGTGGTTTGATATACACAATGACTTGAAAAAACTTGATCTGAAACTAAATATTCCTCCCTAAATTTCGCAAATTTCACTCCATAACTCCTGTAACTATGTGTGGTAGCATTAGTCAAATATGGTCAGTTGCATGTCTTCTCTCTAATTTCCAGAACCCAGTGCTTGCTGTGGTGTTATCGGGCCATAAAAAAAAAACAGATAAGTACAGTAACACAACGCTTTAATCAGGCAACTATAAAACATTACCGGGTCGACCACGAGGTGTCTCCCCCATGCCCTAAAGGCTACTGGGAAATAACATTACGTAACCAATTACACCGCTTCTCCCCTCGAGTAAGAAATAAACTACATCCTAGATAATCAATGGTCACATAATCGATGCCCACATAAAATCAGTTCAAAAGTCATAAACTGAAAAATATTTGTATCAACTGGTCAAAGTTCTGAAACGTCATAACACAAGATGAACGCTTAGGTTCACAGTCATAAGTCTTTGAAACGCTCCGGGGGTCTTACTTCACGACCACTCTGGGTGGTCCTCCTTGGGGTTACAGGCATTGAGGCAGCTGTAGCTAGGGCAGTTGGCGCAGGGCTCTTAGCAGTCTGAGCATCAGGAGAAGACGAGCTAAGTGTGGTGCAGGTATCTGTATTAGGTGCTTCAGGGAGACCACTAAGATGGCGTCTGTTTCTCCTCAGTTGCCCTTTGGGAGTTTCAGCTGTGTAAGAACGTGGGGGGCCAGCCTTTTCTACCACAGTACCTTCAACTTTTTTGTCAGCAACCAAACGCGTCCACCGGGGAGGAGATCCAGGAGGGTCTTTGCAGAATGAAGCGTCTTTCTCTCTAAACTGCTCAAGGTATGGCCAAGAGGGTTTCAGATTATTTGGTGAGGTGAGGATTCTGGTGCGGATCTTCCTTCCCATTAGCAGTTCTGCCGGACTTAGGCCGCTTTCGAGGGGTGTGGCACGATAAGCCATCAGTGCTTTGTAAGGGTCGAAGGTATCGGGTATCGGGGGCTAGTAAGGATGTCAGTAAATCCATAGTCTTCGGCAAATTTGGATAATGAGGTTGATGAAAATTGTGGCCCATTGTCGGAGATGAATTCTTCAGGGATACCATGTCTTGCCAACATAGACTGGAGGTGTGCTGTCACACCTGGCGAAGTAGTATTTGAAAGTTTCGCCACCTCTAGGTAACGAGAAAAATAGTCTATGAAAAGCAGGTAGGATGACTTTTTAACTCGAATAGGTCAGCTTACAGCATTTTTTAATGCCATGGTGAGCATCATGTAACCTGTCTAGGACATCTATTCTCATGGACAGGGGGACAACCAGTTGGTTTCCCTTCATCATTAGGCCATGTTGTGCTGTGAAATCATTTTTCTCGGGCCAGAACACTTTATGTGGACCAGGGAGCTGGGGTTTTTCTGGCCAACCCTCAGAACAATAAGTTATGAGTTGTTTGAATTGTATCTACAAGAATGACATCTTCCGTATTATCACAACTGTTCACTCTCATCGCCCAACTAAGAAAGAATTGTAGTACAAGATGCAGGTAGAATTGCGATTGTATTGGCAAGAGCTGATTTACCCAGTAGTTTGTATCATAAGAAATTCTATCAGTACACATTTCATTAGACACTGACACATAAATTCAAAAATCACACCACTTTAAATCCATATGGGCCAACTGTCCCTGTAGTTGAGTATAATAACCACACGAGTGCTCTTTCTTGAGTTAAAATTTCCTTGCAACATAGAAGTTTGGATCAGCACCTGCTTGCTCTAATGTTTCCCTTTTTTCGAAACTTTATTTCAAGGAAACCATATTGAGAATCTGTGGATGGGTCAAACACCTTTCCAGAGCCTTTTCTAAGATATGGGTACGTTGGATGACCTGATAGTCTAGCATCAAATATCATAAAAACGGGTACTTGCTAAGCAATTTCTGACATTAATTGTTCTCGCAAGTTTAAATTTTCTCTTTTGCTTTGCCATGTGAAATAGCTTTCACATTGGCCAAATCTTTTGTGTCAAACATACTTTTTAGCATCGATTCATATGGCTTTTGAACGCTGAAAAAGACTTTACCAAAATTGGAGGTAGTGAGTCTATAGTTGTGTTGATCAATCCATTCAGCTGTTTACCCTAAAAGACTGTTCTCCTTTCCAAAGCTTGAGCTTCCTTTAAGTCCAGAAGTACATGTTATATAAAAAGGGAACTAAATCAGTATGGTTTAAAAATCAAATTTCATCTATATCAAAGAGTGCCTCATGAACTTTTGGAATGTCTGGAAGACATTGAGGGACTTAATTCTCTTGAGGAGCGATACCCTGGTGAATTGGTAAAAAAGGTTGTTGCAAGCGCCTAAGAGTAAGATTCCTAACACCGTGTTTACTCATAAACCTGGTCTTGATCACTCAACAAATAAGGAAATGGAGGGAGCTTTTCCTCTGGCTCAGGTGAACGACCTGTTTCATCACATTTTGTCTTTGTATGCCACATCTTAAAGCAACTAGCTCGTAGAGTTTGCTTCTTTCAGGATCTCTTGACCTTTCCCCATCTCGGTCCGTTTATGACCAGGCATAATGGGTTCTCAAACCTGGCAACGGGCAGATAGAGGTTGCTCTTGGAATATGCCAAGATTGAGGAAGACTTGAACGAGTTGATAAAGTTAATTAAACTTCCGTAAGGGAATAAAGAGCTGACGTTTCGAGGGTTAGTCGTTCGTCAGAGTGAAGGGTTAGGACTCGAAACGTCAGCTTTTTATTCTTTTGTCGTAGTTAATTCACTTTTATTATCGACTCGTTTGATAAAACCAAATTATAAACCAAATTATAAACCAAAGTGAGCCTCGTTTTCACGCAATGTAAACACCCAATTCAATCTCACGCGTGAGTTAGCCGAATTTGTCTGTCACCAGTTGTGCCCTATTGCGATTTTCGCCGATCGTCATCCAAAATCGTCAGTATCTGTCATGTCAGATATTGTCAATTTTTGCCGGTGATTAAATTCGCTGTTTTCAGCGAATAAAATCGCGTGGTGTATTGCCTGCTTAACTAATACAGGTAATTTATCAATGAGTGTGTTTAAGGAAGTGTTTGAGCATTAATAAGCCCCAAGTTGCTGATCTTAGCTTCATCGTTTTAAAACGCGCGCCTCGACCCAATTTCCTGTAACACGAAATACCCAGATTACTGAAAACCTTCTGAAATCGTCTTTCTCAAGAGCCATCCTGGACATTTAGTCAACTGTTTTACGATAAATATATTCGCCGTTCGTCATTTTGTAGTATTTTGAAATTTTTCCGGTAGAATCTGAAGAAAATTTTTTGAAGTGTCACGCTTGGATCTCCTCGCACACTGTGAACAGAGTCGGCGAAAAGGATAACGTTCGAATTTTTCACTTTCTAGAAGCGCTTGAGGATTCTAAATAAAGTTAAAATATTTTCCAATAGAAATTGGTATTTTTCAAAGAGAAATATGGAAAAATATCAGACTGCCGGACGTTTAGTTATTAGAAGACCGTGTCTGCTCGTGTCCAGTGCAAATGAAGGTAGAATATTTTTCAAGGAAAAATCGGTATATTTCAAAGAGAAATGTAGAGTTATTTGAGGACCGTGTCCAGCCGTGTCATTGAAAAGTTTCTAAGTGTCAAGCGCTTGGATGGCTTCGTACTCTGTATACAGGGTTAGCGATAAATATCAAGTTCGAAATTTCAGGCTACCTGAAAGCGCTTGAAGGTTGTAAATTTTTTTTGGATTTCGAAGAGGAATATGGGAAATATCGAACTGCCGGACGTTTAAGAGCAATTGTCTGTAAAAATTAAACATATTGCGGCAAGGATGGAAAATTCGATTTCTTTCTTATTTTAATGTTAGATAGGCTAGGCTATAACTAAAATCACTGTATACTTTTTTTGGCGAAATATGTTTTTATTTCAGAAAAAAATACAAATAACGAAATTCCGTTAAAATCGTCATTTTTATAGATAACTATATTAGTTTGAAAAGGAAGAACTTGCCTCCTACCTATCAGATTCATAACTTTAAGAACAGGGCAAGTCCCAGCCACACAAGAACCGGATGGTATCTCAGCCCCACAACGAGGAATTTCACATCGAAAGTAGATGTGTTTCACCCCCAGATCTCATCTGCGGCGCCGAACATGGCGGCCACGAGTTTCAGAGCTCTGATTTTAGTGTTTTATTTCTTACTTATTTGTTCTGAAATTCTTTCTACTTGAGATCCAATCGATTGCCACCATCATGGGCCTTACCAAGAAGCTCTCAAGGTTTTTCCTGGCGCATATTTTAGTCATTACGGCCGATTTTCTGTCACTGGACGACCTTCAATTGTTTTTGTCACGAAGCGCTTTGGATTTCATCGCGCCAAGATTCCCTCGGTATCTTGGACAAAGCACGGATGTACATCTCTGCTAATTCCTGGTCACGACCCGCCTCTAAACATCACAATTTTTGGAGACATTGCGATTAATCCTGGTCCGGAGACTTTAATTCAAAACAATTTGAAGAGGCGAAATGAAAATCTACCGAATATCTTGGATTTGCATATAAATACTCGAGTTATAACATACACCCGTGCTGAACTACTTGGCATTCGTCGCGCGTCTCGCAGTTTTGTTTGTGGATCAGTTCTCCATGTTTTAAAGCTAAATGGACTTCTGAGGTTTAGAGGATGTCGAGCTGGCCGACGGAAGATATCTGTACGAATAAGTCATACTACTTGCCGTGATAGAACCACTGCTCGCACTTCTGTTTTGGTTCCTATTGTTCCTGAACAACGTTTTCGTAGTGGAAGCTATTTAAAATTCTGTAGTTTGAATGCCAGGTCTGTGAGAAACAAATCGGCGGACTTGGTTTCCTATGTTGAATCATCTGGAGCTGATATTTTCGCAGTAACTGAGACATGGCTCTCAGAAATTTATGATGCGTGCAGAGCCGAAATTACCCCACCCGGTTACAAGCTGTTTGATCACACAGGATCTGATCGATGTGGTGGTGGAACTGCTCTATTGATAAGAGAAAATCTACATGCAAGTCGTGTAGATGCTGGTGAGCGTACTTCTTTTGAGTTTTCTCATTGGATGGTCGAGTTCCAGTCGCGAAAACTTCAGATTGTTATTATTTACCGTCCACCCTACTCTAGTAACCATCCTGTCACGACGAATGCATTTTTTGCTGATTTTTCGAGTTTTTTGGAGAATATCATAATGTCATCTGTACCGTTACTGATAGCAGGTGATTTTAATATCCATGTAGAAGTTCCGGGGAATGCAGACAGTGTTTGTTTAAAGGAGCTGCTTGAGTCAATGGGCCTTCAACAACATGTTAACGTGCCAACACACGAGTCAGGACACACCCTGGATTTGATCATTACTCGACAATGCGACTCCTTATTAGCTAACATCCCTGTGACTGACTGTCTGTTTTCTGATCACTCTACTTTGATTTGTGATCTAACCCTGGACAGGCCACCGCTCCCAAAGAAAAAAATCTCTTTCAGGAAGACAAAGGTGGTTGACGTTAACCTGTTATGCCATGAACTCTCTACAACTTCGCTTTGTACAGACAGCCCTGATGCTCTGAATGATCTTGTTAAATGTTATAATTCTACATTATCTGCGGCTCTTGATCGTCATGCTCCACTTGTCACTAAGTTTATCACAGTGAGGCCTTTGGTACCTTGGTTTAGTGAAGATAATAGGGATTCAAGGAGGGAAAGACGGAGAGCTGAAAGAAAATGGCGTCGATCTCGAAGTGTCAATGATTTGCTTGAATTTAAAAGAAGAGGAATTTTACAACCTACCTGATGAATGAAAAATAACTCCAATCAAAGGAACCTATTCTCGGCAACAAAAAGGTTGCTAAATCAAGGTCATGAAGTACCTTTTCCACCAACTAGTGACAAGCTGGTTTTAGCCAATGAAATGGGTAGCTTCTTTGTTGAAAAGATTGACGCCATCCATGTCAAACTGGACAGACTAGCCGATTGTTTGCATGATTCTCATTTTGACTATGTGAAAACGCTACCAACTAGAACACTGGACAGCTTTATCCCTTTAACTGAAAGTGCTGTTAGTAAGTTGATTGGCTGCTCTCCGAAGAAAAGCTGTATGTTTGATCCGATGTCAACATCTATGGTAATCAGCTGTGCTGATGTGCTATTACCAGTCATTACTAAAATGATCAACCTGTCTCTTAATTCTGGAGAATTTGCGGATGATTGGAAATGTGGGCTTATTAATCCTATCTTGAAGAAACCTGGATTGGATTTGCTGTACAAAAATTACAGACCAGCTAGTAACTTACAATACGTATCCAAGTTGACTGAAAAAGTCGTTTTTAATCAAGTTTACGATCACATGGTTTCAAATGCTATTTTTCCTACGCTTCAATCTTCTTACAGGCAATTCCATAGCACTGAAACTGCACTTATCAAGGTGATGAACGATATTTTGTTAAAGATGAACTCTCAACATGTCACTATGTTAATTTTATTGGATCTCAGTGCTGCCTTTGACACTGTTGATCATCGAATACTTTTAGAGAGGCTATCTGACGAGGTTGGCATACGTGGGACTGCTCTGAATTGGTTTAGATCGTACTTGTCTGATAGAAGCCAGCGCGTTTCTGTACATGGAGTTCTTTCTCGTCTTTTTGACTTGAACTGCGGGGTACCCCAAGGCTCATGTTTAGGGCCTTTGCTATTCATAATATATACGTCCAAGCTGTTTAAGATCGTGGAACATTATCTTCCTGATGCTCACTGTTTCGCTGATGATACGCAGCTGTATCTGAGTTTTAAACCACTCGGCAACACTGCTCAAGCTGATGCTATACAAGCTATGGAAAAGTGCATTGACGCGGTGAGGAAATGGATGATTCAAGATCGGCTGATGATCAATGATGATAAAACGGAGTTTTTGTTAGTCGGCACACGACAACAGCTTGATAAATTAGATTCGTGTTCCATAACTGTGGGCAATAATCGTATCAGTCCAAGCCCATGTGTTAGAAATCTTGGATCCTGGTTTGACAGCAACTTAAGCATGACTGATCATATAAACAAGGCTTGTAATGCGGCATTTTATCATTTACATAACTTGAGACGTATTAAGAAATACCTGTCGAGAGATTCTTTAATTACTTTGGCTCATGCTTTTATAACCAGCCGTCTTGACTATTGTAATGGTTTATTGTTTGGCTAACCAAATGTGCAGATCGCTAAATTACAGCGTGTACAAAATGCAGCAGCAAGACTTACTCATGGCTTTGGAAAGTTTTCTCACATTACACCGGCGCTTTATGAGCTGCACTGGCTGCCAGTTTCTTTGCGTATTGACTATAAGATTTTACTTTTGACTTTCAAATGCATTTATGGCCTGGCGCCAACTTATCTTAGCGATCTTATTAGTATAAAATCGAATTCATTATATAATCTTAGGTCTACTAGTAAGCTCTTATTGGACCATCCCAAGGGAAAGATGCTTACAACATTGGGAGCAAGATCATTCTCAGCAGCAGCTCCGAAACTCTGGAATGAGCTACCTGTGGAGCTTCGTCAAGCAACATCACTTAACAGTTTTAAATCTCGACTTAAAACCTATCTTTTTAAGAAGTATTTTTTATAGTTTGTAACTTAGTTTATTTTATTCTCACGGTAATGTATTTTCGTTTTCTTTTAAACATATGATTGTAAAGCGCTATTGATCAGCACATGTAAATACGCGCTATATAAATTGGTAAATTAATAAATTATTATTATTATTATTTAAATCATGATGATAAATTCTCATTGCGCACTGTCTTTTCTATATCGTACAGCAATGATACTTTTAAAAGATTATTTCGACGTTCATTAATCATATTAAATGTGACAATGACTGAGTCGAGTTGTTACTGGGATAGAGCTCATTGTGCAAACCTTTAAAAAGAAAATCATATTAGACGAATTAGATCGTACATATTTACTTTTGATCCATAATCTAAAGGTTTCCCTAAGGTTACCTTAGCAATTAAAAGTAACATTTCTGTTTGACACAGGTTTCTATAGAGGCGAATGAGGGTCCGTAATGAACTCTTTCCTTGAATTAGCATCTTAAAAATTTTTCCTTCTGCTACCACGTTATGAATATTAATTTCAGCTTGTGGCAATATTAACTTTCAGGCTTTATTTACACATGTTAATAATTATCTGTAAAACTTGTAAACGATTGGATGAGAAACAGGAGAGTCGATTTTTCTTACTTCTTTGAAAATCCTGTCTTATCTCTTCAACTGTCTCGCCGAGACAATTCACAAACCTCTTTGCCTTTCATCCTGCACTTCTTATCACTTGAAGTTTTCAAAGCATGAAGCTCTCTGTGAACCACGCAGATGTTCTTAAGTTTTGGCACCCATCCATTAAAGAGAAAAAAAGCCACTTTTAAAAGAAAATTAAAACTTTGTAACCGCTCCGTCACTAAGTTTCTTCTTTTTGAATAAAGATTCAGATGATCATATAATTTAAGGTGGAAGACGTTGTACGAGATCAGTTGCACTGGAAATGTTAAGGTTTCTACTGTCTAGTGTGGCGTTCAAGTGTAGGAATAAAGATGAAAGATGAAGTAAGTAAAGTACCTCTTTTTACATTTTAAATTTTCTCAGAGTAACCAAGCAAAATTTTTTCAAACATGGTAGTGGGATGTTACAATAAAGAACTTAAGCGGAGAAGTACTTGAGACGCGGACGGCAACTGAAAGAAGAATAAAACAAACTCTAAGCCGCTTTGACGCAAATGAATCGACCATGCGATCGCGGCTTCAGCATTCCAAACCAAATTGTGCTAATCATAGTAAGCATTAGGAGTGGGAACTTTTAACTTACTGTTGCCGTCCGCCTCTCACGGTCTTTGCCTCGCCAATATGACGTTGTTTTAAACTTTACCGGAGGCCAATTTCTTAATGTCATCTTTACCATACCGTATTTTCGATTGCACAACACAAGAAACGTTATAGACCAAGAATTGAAACCGAAATAATGTAACCGCAAAGTCAAATGTATTTATATTGCATTTACTGAAAAACATTTCGCAGAAACCAGTCCTGATTATTTTCCCTTAATTAATACGTTCCTTTGAAGAAAGAACGAAAGTAGTTGAGACTATGGTATGTTGTGCACAAAACACCTTCAGGGAAAATTAATTCCATGTAAGCCAAGAAGTAAAACATTAATATTTAAAAGGCATTTTTTAGAGTTGTTTTGACATTTTTTCCTTTGATTTGTTACAACCCTTTTTGTATAAGAGAACTGTTCTTTGAATTGTTTTGCTCTCTGATAATTCAAGTTAAATTGGGTGCAAGAGCCTAGCCCCATGAGAAGTTTTGAAAAGCGACGAAGATAGATGCTCGACAGAAATACAACTAGTACCACTTCTATCATTCATCATGTCATGTCTACGGTAGTACGAAAAGGCGCCTTTCGGCAGAGGCAATCTCACAAATGAAATCAAGATACGCAGATTATTGGTTGAACGGGAAACGAATTCAAATAAATTTTTAATGCGAACAGCCTACCTTTCGAACGATCTGAGATAATTTTAATTCAACCATGGTCGCATATCTCATCGAGAATGTGGTGTTTACCTCTCGACTGCCCTTAAAAGCATTGACATTTAATGTGCGAAATGAATCTTTTAAGCCAATATTAGGGGGAAAAAGGCAGAAACAGACTAAACAAGGAAACGAAAAGGGTGATCGCCCACGTTTGGCTCTCAAGAGGACTTCTTTTATGAACTATCTATATTGACTCAGGAAATTAAGTGGAAAAAGAAATTCGTCAATCATTCTCACCGAGTTCAAGTCTAGTTATGGTACATCACTGCATGAATTAAGAGGAAAAAGTCATCACGTTCGTTTAAAATCGGATAGTTATGGTACATCACTACATGAATTAAGAGAAAAAAGTCAGCACGTTCGTTTAACATCGGATATGTGATGATACATTTCTTTTCTTAAGGAGGATTCCTCTGTATTTTCATATTGTAAGTATGTTGTTCAAAACAAAGAGATGTACTATTCTGACAGTTGCAATTCCGCGAGATTGCCTCAGCGGGAGTCACTCCATAACTTAGTTCGGGAAGGGGGGTTAGAATATAACTATCCTTTATCCTCTTTAAAGCAAACAATTAAAACCTTTAGTAATAAATACAATTGTTGTCAGGTCGTTAGCAAGATTTATATTTTACTGAAGCTGCGGCAAAAATAAATTTAATTTCTTCACCTGACGATCATGCTAATTGTAATTCTGTACACAAGTAATGGGGAAAAGCAACTGGAATGTCATTTTTTGTATTAAACGTAATACGTTCTGCGTTATATTCTCAAAAGTTGACAACAATGCGTGTCTTCCTTTAGCCCTCTTCCTGTTTCTGATATAATTGTGAGCAAACGTTGCAACTGAAGGTCGAAAACTAAAACCGTTTGAAATAAGCTCTTTTGTTTGATAATCCAACAGCTGATTTTCTCATTTTTTCGGTTTTAGAGAGCATCAAATCAGAAAGAAAATATTCCAAGAGTAGTCAAGGCAACCTCAGATGTGAAGATCGAGGGCGAGGTTATCATCCTTTGCAGTTTTATGGTTGGCGGGGTTTAACCTGCACGGACAGTCTTAAACGATGAATGAAACTTTTCAGTTACATTCATGTCGTGATTCGAAAAAAATTTCAAATATCCTCATGATTGCTATAGTCATGATTTTATCTATAGTTGGAAACGGCTTAATTTGCCTCTTACTTATCAGATTTAAAACTTTGAGAACAGTCCCCAACATCCTCATCGCTAACTTAGCTGCTGTTAACATTCTCAATGCAATGACTAACATGCCTCTTTTCATCTTGTGGTACATTTGTAAAGTGCCCTTCCTTAAGGGTCGTTTAATCTCCTGGATACTGGTCACATGGTATGTATTGTTTGTATACCTTACCGTGTTCAACCTAACGGTGCTGGCAATGGACCGTTTTGGGGCTATTGTGCACGGTTTACATTACCATGTATGGAAAACAAAGAAAAAAGCCAAGGTAGCGGTACTGTTTGTATGGCTTTTCGCGGCCTTATACACATATGGTATGTTTACAATTGGACTGGATATTGATTTAGGCGACGCTCCGGTGCTGCTTTACAGGACGACCTACTTAGAAATTTTCGGGAGACACTTTATCATCCCTGGAATTTTGGTTCCATTCTTTTTAATGCTCACTTTGGGAGTGGCCATTTGGGTTAAGGTGCGTAGTCATAAAAAGCGTTTGTTGACTTTCTTCTCCGTAAACATTCAAATCGAAAACGACGTGAAGACCGCGAAGACAGTTGGTGTAACAGTGTTGGCGTTTTTCTGTATGAATGTGATACCAATGTTATTACACAACATAGTGAGAAGCCATGGTAGCTGGCCTCACTTCCTCGCATTCTTTCTCATGAAACTGAACTGCATGGTGAATCCTATCATTTATGCTTTAAAGGCTCCAAGGTAAGTTCAGTCTGTGGGGTATGGGGCTAAGCGGTGGCTCAAGGAATTTTGGGAAGACACTTGATTCTTATCTTTACGAAGACTCCTGCAAAATTAAATCTTTTTGTCAATCTGTGTTTGCATTGACGAATTCTGTTTTGGCAACAGCGGAAGAAGATACCTTTATTCTAAACTGTCCTTACTTTCAGTTTTGCGTTTGGTGTATTCTTCACTTCTAAACTGACAATGAACAGCAGTAAGGGATTATAAGAACCAGAAGATGACGGCAACAAGAACGATGCGAAAAAAGAAAAAGGAATTTCAATTAGCAAAAAAATGGCTTTCAACTCGCACTGCCAAATTTTGCCCGTTTCTAAGCCGCTTTATGTTAAAACAGTTTCTTTATTTATTTGTCAACAGGTTCCGCAGAGCTCTAGTACTCTTATTAAAGGAACCACATGGCAAATCGGAACCCAATATGAATTCGCGGATCCTCAACAACCTTAGCTCAACGGCAAGTAATTGGACCTTAAAGACGGAAGAAACTGACATTGAGGACACAAAACTCTAAATCTCATGATGAATTTTCCAACCCTCGTTTTGTTTTGTTGAAACATGCCTTTACCCTTTTTCATAAAATCCAATTTTTCTGTCATCAACTTTGAGCAGGGGGGAAAAGGAAAGTGTCCCCACAATTGTGATAAGGATTTTGGCTGTTCTTCAGTGAAGAAGCATTTAGTTTTACAAATGCATTGAAATAGAAGTAGAGACAACAACGTTAATTAACTTGATGATGATTGATAGTAATAACAATAATGGCACAAAGCAACGAACTCAAAATGTTTTTAATGAAGTACCTCAGAAGATAAGGGGTGAGAAGATAAGAAAAATTGCTTGTAACCTAACCTACATAAGAACAATTTACTCACACAAAACTAGCCACTAGTAGTATAATTTTACAAATACATGTAAGATAGCTTCAGGTATATTAAAAGGTTAACTGCTCTATATTTAAATATAAAGCGAATATTTAAGAGAAATAATTCTAGTAACAGCTACCTGATTTCAGAATGAAATGGTTTTACTAGCCGTTAAATTTTTTCTTATGTTTTAGAGTGACCAGACTATTTTTCCGTATTCTGATTGCGTTCGGACCAGAATACTGTATGACGTTTTCAAGGCTGTTGCCTCTAAGTGGCCTTTTAAGTTCTTCTTGTCAGGGCGAGCATTTTACTTTTCTTGAGCAGGCAAGGCGCTTGGCTAAAACTGATGTTCTATTATCTTTCATAGATTAAAATAAAATGTCACATACGGGAGACAGACTCTCCAGACAATCTAGAACTTGGTTTACATCGCACACTGCAGTATATCGAGCCATGGCAGGGTGAGATTCCAATACTCCCCTACGAAACCTAATGACTATGAGGTGGAAATCCACGTATTGAGGGGAGTGTAGATGTAAGTGCTGAGCGGGCAATGTTAATGCTACTGTAGCTGAGCCCATCATTAAATAACATCAGTAAAAATTCTATAACTTGGCCTAAAGAGAAACAATCTGAACTAAACTCTTCTTTACGAAGAAGTTAAGCCTTCTTTTTTGGTAGGATTAGTACTGACTTGTGCCTTTCCCCTCGTCCACACTGGTTACCCACAGGTTTCTAGCAATTCACCAGGTACAAATCTCACGTGCAATCTCATTGCGACCCAAAAATTGCAATCGAATCAACGAAGGCTACTGGAGTGATATCATCTATGTAAATGTTAACATGACAGTTTGTCACAGAGAAGTAGAACGGTGGCAGTGCAAAAAGGGCAGCTAGTGTTTCAAACTCATTAATGTAACGGTGAGGCTCATATTCAGTCCATTGACCATCTGTTTGGTCTGCATTGTACACTGCTCCCCACCTTTCTTTTGAGGCATCTTAGTATATGGAAAGTGTGGGATTCCCATCTGATACAGACTTGACTGAATTTCTAATATATTGTTGAACCACCGTCTGAGTTCAACACCATCAGTGAACTGAAATTGCCGTTGTTTTCTTTCAAAGCTTTGATTTTATCTATTTGTAGGCTTCTATAAAAGGAGCTGGATACAGTTAACCCCAGGGAATACAGAACCCATTACGCCTATCACTTATGAGACTTCTTGACTAGAGGCCTGAGTTGTCTTGTTGAGCGAGTTTAAGATAAATCCCAAGAATGTCAATTGGTGACTTGGTATGACAATTGACTTTTCTGTTTATAACAGAACACCCACTTTATTGAAAAGATGAATAGTATTCAATTTTACTGCAATCATCAAATGAAGGTCCTTGGAATAAGAATTATAAGTATACTAAACATTCGTGTGCTCCACTTGCCTTAAAGTGGAGTAAACAGGTTTAACCAGTTTAGTTAAAAGTCCATGTGAAGATGCAAAACCCTTGGGAAGGCAATTAAAAGAGACAATTCCTCCTTCCAAGAGAACTTTAAATATTTGCAGTATCTTAAAAATCTAAAGATGCCATATAACACCCAGGTATGATGCGACAGACTACTGAATTCAAACTTTCTAGTTTGAAAATGATGGTGACACATATAGTGATTTAGGTTCTTCAAATTGAGGGTAGCTCCTGTCTTCTTTTTGTTAAAAAAAAATTCGCGGAGATAAGTTCTCCTTCATAGTGAAGAGATCTAGCAATAACCCCTTTTCTGCAAAGTTTCTCTAACTCTGAATCAGGAATGTGTGTTTCTTGCGGATTAAACGGAATTTCCTTTGGAGAACTCTTGTGTAAGGAGCGGTCAAGAAACTCAACGTTAAAACCTTTGACTGTCTGGAGAATGTGTGGGTCAGATGTCAATTCTCGCCATTCAGGAAGGAAATATTTAAGTCTACCTGCTGGCGTAAAATCTGGTTCCATGAAGTTAATATTTGAACTTACCTCTAGTAGACTGCAGAATCAGGGTTCACTTTGACCCTTCAGCCTGGGGTAATCTGAACTCTGAGAGACAGGACTGGGATTTGCGGTTGGTCGCCAGCCTTAAAAATGCGTCATTTGCCCCCTATCAAGGAAGAACTTTCCTCTAGGATTGAGATTTATATCCAAAAAGAGAGTGGCTCTGAACTCTTTTATGATACGCGGTAGACGTCACTTTCCGGCCAACACGGTTTACTTCGGAGATATCTTTGACTTGCTTAGACAGATCGTCTCCGAAAAGTTAAGCAGTCACTGGGATAGACACTAAGCTTAGGTCCGGTTTAATGAGCTCTCTCCGTCTAGTTTTCAGCTCTGCATTTGCATATACAAAAAGAGAGAGGCTCCCAAAATAGATTCTCGTGGAGGGCTGGATGGTATAGTACACCAGGCAAAACCTTTACTATCAACCAGGAACCTCTGTAATCCGTTCTTCACAACACGTAAGAAGAGAACCAGTTACCCATAAATTGCACAGCGTATGAAGCGAGTAAAGTTTTTAAAAAATTCCTTAATTGAAACCTTTGTTTTTCTCTACACTTGGTCCCATTTAAGAAAAGCGATTTTTCATTAAGAAACTCGGGTCTTAACGAGAAAGCTGATGTCATGGTTGGCCATAATTTTTCGTCATTTCAGAACCCATTTGGTCACTGATTCCTCATTTTTTTCGGGAAGTTTTGTAAATTTATTTCGCGAGTTTGATCATTCAAGCTTAGTAGAGTGAAAAACACCTGATGTTAAAGTATTGTCTTTCCAAGAATCAACCCGAAGGAGCCTTCGAGGATAATGACGGATCCCTTGATATTACATATTGCGTGAAGGGCTTATCATACATGGACCATTCGCTCTCAGAAGCCCGTAAAGTCCCAGTTAATTGCTCAAAGGAATAGCTCTATTTAAGTGTTCATTTGAAAAGTCTACTAATGTTCTTTGGAAGATGTGAGTTTAACTGAGTACAGTTGTGCTGAGGTTGCCAGAACTTGACAGGTAAAAAATTGTCCTCAGCATATCCGGTGACTTTTCGGCGAAATATTAAGTTCCCACATTTAATTAACAGTGATGAAGAATTTCACGACAAAAAAGTGATAAGGGTGATAATTAATTGAAATTTAGTGGTATGACAGCCTAAATGGCCACTAAGAGAATCTTAATCCATTAAGGATATCACTCTCAACCCAGCTGAGAAATAAGAAAACAATACAATAGCAGTAAAAATAACCATAGGAGACAAAATTCTACGAAAGAGCTAATTGCGGGCGCAGTAAAAGGTTCCTTACTCTAGATTCATCGAAAGACTCGAGCGTAAAGAAGAGGGAATTCCACATATGAACAATCAGTTAAAATTTGCTTAAGTTTGAAACATTTTTCAAGCTGAAGTTCGTCCATGAAAAAAGCTCATCAGCCCACTGTAAAGTTCCTTGTCTGAAAGAAAATTAATGTGGTCTCTTACGTCAACCATAATGAAACCTCTAAAGGCTGTGTGAAAACACGCATAGGTACCATTATTTTTCTTAGGAGCCCCTCTAAACGGTCTGCGTATCTCAGGATGAATTTGCTGACACTTGTACTTAATCCAGTCTTGAATTGTTGCTAATAGCTAGGGGACCAGAATACTGAGCTGTTTTCTACATGTATTTGCTTTTTAACCAAGGTGCAGCACAAGGTCTCTGACAGGTCTCTACAAGTACCTGTGAATAATCCTAACCCTGAGTTACCCTTTCTTGTAATCTTATCGATCTATAAGTTCCAAGTAAGAATGTGATCGGTGATAAAGCCTTAATTCGTTGATCTCGGTCATCTCCTTAAAAGCAAAGCCTTTTTTTCTTTCAACCAAGACACTATGGTGTCTGTTCTATTGGAGATACAACACCTCTTAACGGGAAAACGAATGACCCAAAGTTGTAAGGCTTGAGATGCAATTGAGACAGTCAAAAAGATAAAAATATACATAGATTGGAACCTATAGTCTATTCTTTACTCAGCTCTTTCCCTGCAAATGAGTCATGATAGCTTTGTGATGGCTACACCTTTGTTCTCAACGAGTACGTTATGCAACAGTTAAAAGAGTTACAACCGTGAATAACCTTGATTTATACCCAGTTGTTCTCTGAAAACTGTTTATTCGGAATCTTTACATGAAGTTCCTTAACGATTCCGTGATTTAAGCTTAGAAAATTGAAAAAAAAAACACCTAGTTTTAAACTATTATCAGAGCAAACGCAATCAAAGCAGTCGTCGAGGATAAAGGACATAAGTACTCTGGATACTACATCTAAGTAAGGGCTTACCTACCATGACCTAGTCGTCTCTCAGAGTCTATTGAAATGAATAAGTACATTCAAGTGCTCTTCAAAGGATAAGATCCCCAAAATTTTTGTACATAACCTTAAACCTTTTGTGCTTTAAGTTCGTGAATTAGGATATGACCGAGGCGTAATACTATCAATTACCGTGGTCAATATCATTTCCGCGATTAGATTTAATTAAATTTCAATCCATTTAGTTTAAGGTTAATTCAATTTAGATATAGTGAGCAAAGTTTCATTCAGTTTTAATGACTCTAAAATGGTTAGGGCATAGTGGTGTTCTTTTGACTGGAGTCTGAAAGCAAAGGAATCGTGTGGGGGAGGAGGGAATTTTAAATTTCCAGGGGAAACAGACCAGAGGGAGGCAGTGGTTGAAAGATTTAAAAAGGCATATAAATTCTGTTTGCAAACTTGGGGCGTATTTTTGCCAAACCTAAGGATCCTGTCTCGAAAGAACAACGAACCGACGCCATTTATTCTATTCCTTGCAATGACGGTAACAACGAATACATCGGACAGACCAAACGTCAGTTTGGTACACTTTTGAAAGAGCATCAGAAAGCGGTTTTCTTTTGCAAAAAAAAAAATTCAGCTTTAGCGGAGCACGCATGCCTAACTAACCATACAATTGGGTGGGATAAGTCTAAAATTATCACCACTAATCGGCGTAACCACCGGCGCCCTTGTTTGGAAGCTTGGCATATTAACTCCGCCCACGCTCCTTTGTATCGTGGTGATGGTGGCTTACTTCCTGACGCCCATTTACACCTCGTCAGAAAAAAGGCAGCTAATTAGTGATCATATAAAAGGACCTCTTGTTGCAGCGTTTAGATCACCTAAGATGATGGCACCAGACAGGAGTGTCGAAACGCTGGGTCTATGAATTGTAACTTATTCGGTTACATTCATTAAATCTGTAAACCAGAGTAACATCAAACCATGTCTGATTGTCCACCTGGTTGCCGTGTGTACTTTAATATATTTTGATTTTTTGATTGCTATCAGGCAACATCCCACGACGATGTATTTTAAGCCACAAGAGTTTCCTTTGATATATTGGCCCAGTATAATGCACACGTTTAATTCGTTCGTATTTTTTATGAATGGAATGCTAGTCGTTCTTATTATACCCAAGAAGAAAAATAAAGTTCCGCAAAATACGATTTCCTCTCCTTTTACATGCGATCGGAACGTTATGAATGCCACAGTGGAGAAAATGGCTGTTGTTAGCTGCTACGGTTGGCTGGGGGTGAATATATGGCGGCTGTTATTTCAAAGATAAAAACATTTTGGTTTTTAGGGAGAATGCTAATAAAAATGACTAATACTAATAAAAATGTGGTTGTCGAACCCTTCCTTGAGCTGTAGTCAGTTAAATTTATTTATAGCTCTATTCCCCTTCATAAAATGATCATAACCTCTTTTAGCAATAATGCAGAATTTATTCAAAACCATTTTGTAAGAGGAAAATTATTTGGATATGTAGTAAAGATCCATTAAATTATTTAAAAAATCGCGAAGCCGTGTAAAGAACATTCTAGGCGACTGCGAGAGGTTATTAACACTTCCTCGTAAAGAGATTAAAGACTTTAAATTCACTCTTTACATGTTGTAGTTCACTTAATTAAGTCATGGAATGCGTTATGTGTTTTAGTATAAAAGGTTCAGCACCAGGAATAAGTCAAGTTATCAGGATGTTGTTTCTCTAAATTGTATCGTTTGGTTATTTTCAATTCAATTGTGCAATTTTTGGGAATTTGCAGCTTAGTCTCACTTTTATTTTCAACGGCTCTATTTTTTTCCATTTCTTCTATTCCTAGTGCCAACTCAGCCGAAAGCTTGTTACACCGAGAAAGAGCCAGTTACTTGGGTAAATAAGGAAATTCTACTAAATTACGCATCAAACCAAATATTTGTTTCTTGAAATACGTGGGTGCGACTTTAGGCTCCAACCATGCCATTTTTCTTCGCAACTTTTAATTATTTACCTAAAGAGCTACAAGCCGGATATTAAAAAAGGAATAGCACAAACAGAGAAGCAAATTACCACTTCAAAAATCAGCTCTCCGTCATGTTTCCTATTTTCATTGATAATTTTAGCACCGCACCTCTCAAACACATTTATGTGTATATTTTAATGGGTGTTACCTTGACAATATCTTCAATACGAAACGTCACTGATACCTCCGGCATATATGAAGCCCATTTATAGCAGATCCCGTATTCGCTTTGTTTTCGATAATACGGATCGACTGGTTAAAAATTAGAGTGACATGCCGTACTCATTCTGATCAATGTGCGAGATAATGCAAACTGGACATTGCTGACCGAAATTTATACAATTTTTAAATTTTAAGGGAGCAGGTGCAATGCTTGTTTCGTCTTTTTTTTGTTTTGCGTTAAAAATAAAAAAACAGAGCGATATTGGGTAATTGAGCCCCGGTTATCTGCAAGCTAACGAAATTTTATGGAGTATGAAATAAATAAGGAAAATCTAGTGAATAATATTTAGAATAAATAAAGCTTCCTTAAGATGCCATTAATTTGAGTTACAATATGCAAATTTAAATTTTTTTGCTAATAAAATAAATGATGGACGCTGAAGAACAAAATACTCCATTAAACACTGCGAAGTTAAGGAGTATTACCCTTATAAACGTCATTTCTTGTAATTTCAAGATCGCCAAACTGTGAAAATGACTTTTTCTTCGTTATATTTGAAAGTGAACTAATTTTTCCTTTAGTGACTAAAAAGTGCCCAATATTAATTAGTTTCAAAGAGCATCACGTTCTAATGCTTAGTGTTAAAATTAGGCTCTTTGTATTTGCTTCAATGCCTTGTTCCGCAAAGAGCTGCTTCCGCCTTAATCTTTCAATTTTTCACGCAAATATCCACAGGATTGCTCTATGCACAATTTTGCCGTATAGGGATATCAATCTTTCCTTCGCCAACTTGGTTTTGCGTTCCGCAGCTACTGATGGTGGTGTCGAGTTTGTTGGTGAATATTGTTCCTTTTCGTGAAGCTCACATAAGTTACAAATGAGATAAGATGATGATTCACTAGTTCATATTGTTTAACTGCAGGTACAGTTTGATTTAATGCAAATCCATTTTAAACAATTCTTCCATTTTATTTAAGGGAAATTCTAGCAGAAGCGGTAGAAAACCATTCATTTTAACTCCTAATAGACCATTCCCTTCAAATTTCGATTTGAATCACGAACAGCATACTCAGCAGCTGCATCTGTTAGCTAGTAAAAGACACTCTCAGTAATTTGGCAAATGCCCTAAATAGGCTGTTTTCTGTACGTTAATGGTCTGCGAGGAAATTTCGGTCTAGGTTGCAGACGCTGCGATAGAAGTTAAGGCCTCATTATTCAATGTTCATCAGGTTTAATCCAAATAAGACTTCAATTCTTCAAGAGCAATACAAACGGGAATAACAAAATTAACGAAATGTTGCCAAATTAGTAGTTCGTGATAACAAGGAGTAGCGTGCGTAGTTAACAAAGCTCAATTCTAGCCGAGCTGGTAGACAGCACGTCTGAGGTTAGATCAAAGGGAATCATAAAAGGCTTTAACCTTTTTCTGAGGGTCTTTTCTATGTGATTTTTGAAGAAATTTAGATCCATAACAAGTCGATGGGATCTAAAGAAAAGGACTCGTGGCTGACCAGATGTTATTTTCGTCTTTGATGAAGCTTTAGATAAGGACTACACTACCTGGATTGGTTTCTCGTGAGTTGGCACGGCAATGCAAGAGTCAGTCCAAGCAAAGACGATTTCTTGTACCGATGCAGTCAAGGTCTCACAAATCGTGATGATCGCCTTGGTTATGGTGGGATCCATGATAGGGAACAGCATGATATGTGTTTTACTCATTAGGTTTAAGACTCTACGAACAGTGACGAATGTTTTGATCGCGAACTTAGCTGTCGTCGACATCCTCAACGCTGTGACCAACATGCCTCTCATGATCATGTGGTACATCTGTAAAGTGCCTTATCTAAATGGACGTGCAACATCTTGGTTCATTGTGACTTGGTACGTGCTGCTCATGTACCTCATAGTGTTCAATCTTACTGCGATGACAATGGACCGCTTTGGAGCCATCGTCCACAGCATTTGGTATTACTCATGGAAGTCAGTTAAAAAGGCGAAGGTAGCTGTGTTAATGGTATGGATTCTTGCCGCTGCCTATACGTATGGAATGTTTGTTTTGGGTTTGGATATTGATCTTGGAGACGCCCCTGTTTTGGTTTACAGGAAACACTATTTCAAAAATTTCGGAAGGCTTTTCATCATTCCTGGATACCTCGTTCCGTTCACGATTATGCTCTGCGCGGGTGCATACATTTGGTATTCTGTGCACCAACACAACAAACGTATCTCTGCGTTTTGTTCGATTGGGAAGCGCTTTAAAAACGACGTGAAAACTGCGAAGACGATATGTTTAACTGTGATGGCGTTTCTCCTGATGGGTGTTTTACCGATGTTGTTACACAACATCTCCAAAATCCATGGTACATGGTCTCATTTCCTCGCGTATTTCCTCGGGCATTTGAACGGCATGGCGAATCCTATTATCTATGCACTTAAGACTCAGAGGTAGGAATATTGTACCAGTCACTACATTACAATGTTTCATAATAAAATCAAGGCGTGAGACTTTGATAGCCCTCCATGGGTAATAAGTAGTTAGTTAGCGGAGAATCTCTCAGCTCATGGAAACAACAATTCAGAATTGATAAAAATGGATGACAGTCCTCTAATATCATTTCTTTGAAAAGTGCCCATTTTTCATCTCCAAAACTCATATGACTTATTATTCTCAGCTGTATGCAGTATTTGACATACCTGGGAATTGTTTGAGAAATGATTTATCCCCTTACATCGTGTGCAGCATTCGATGCATAATGCACGGATGATGTACATTAAGTTTACTTCTTTTCACAGATTTCGCAAAGCTTTTGTGTTGCTCTTTAAGGATCCTTTGGGAAAGTCACAGCCTCAGATGACTTCAAATAATCCGACAGATCTATGTGCCCTTTCAAGAATCGCTCTACACAATACAGACGTCTGCAGAAAGATCAACTATATATAAGTGGATTTTATAGCATTTACTGAAATCAAGAAGTAAAGGGAAATGCTTGTTCACAATCTTGGCCTCATTTGCCTTTTAGGATCATAAGCATCTGACTATAACTGTCGACAACTCCGGTTCAAAAGATTAGTTATTATCTTTTTTCTAGCGATATAGATGCCATCGTGCGATGGTGACCATTTGATTGCACACTGATATTATGTTTTAGGCGACGACGGGACTGGTTACGCGTCCCCTTAAACATGCTCCGTTGTGAGCGGCTGGTTTTCAATTGCTGTGAATGGCGCACTCAGAAAATGCGCTACAAACGATAACAACAACATTTCGTTTTCTCATTGAGGATTTTCATCTCTTCTCCGTTTTAATAACTTCAATTACGGCATGTTTACAAACCTTTATTTGGTTCTTCTGTTGCTACTTGCTATGACCTTTATAATAAACACCTTTCAACTGCCGCTGAAAATTTAACCTCTAAAACTGCCAAGAATTGGGAACGAGGAGTAGGAAGAAAAAACATTCTTGAGGAAAATTACGAAAATAATGCAATACATATCAGTGAAAAGCAGTCTAAAAACGTTTTTTCGAGCGAAATCAATTCTTGCATACCATCCTCCTTAAGGTTCTTTTTACAGAGAGTCTCATTTCTCGAAGCCGCCAACAATAGATTAATGGATTGAAAGCCGAATTCATAAACACTATAGTTGCTGATGTATTCCACACAATTGGACTATAAAACTCATTCCATGAATCAAAACCAGGCCTGTTTTCAAGATTTCTGGCTAATAATATCGATATGAACACTGGAGTATAGCAGAAAAGTAGAAAGTAATGAACTAGAAAGGCGTTGACAGCTGTTTTTTTAAATCGCGCCATCTGTAATCCAGTCCCATCTTGTACTGCCTGCACTTGTGCTTGGATTTGTCGTTGATGTCGACGAACGTTTTGATAAATTTGGAAATGCACAATTGTACACATAGAAAGGCAAAATGCTATTCCACAAGTCATGACTATCTGAAAAACCCTTTTCCCTGCCCATAGTAAGAGGGTTGCCAAAAATCCACTTATTAACCAGATCATACCAGTAATATAGATGACTCGTGGAACAGTTACGATGCTGGAGTACCTCAAGGGATATTGAATTGCTAAGAACCTATCTACACTGATGGCTGTAACGGTCATCAAAGAAGCAGCGCACACCGTGTAGCAAAGAGTGCCAAATATAATTTCGAAATAACACTCATTTATGTCAGAGTTTGAAAAAAGCAGCATCAGAGTGAAAGCTTCAAATGATGGTTGAACAAAGACAGCAACAGCGAAGTCAGTTGTGGCGAGTCCAGAGAGAAAAACCATCCAAGGAGAGCGAAGCGAAGAAGTCTTCCATACTGCTAAGATGACCGAAGTATTTCCAATTGCTGATGTTATTAACAGTATAATGTTAATTGCGCAAATGAAAACGATGAATTGTGGTGAAACGTTTTGATGCTGAAATACAGCGAGATCGAGGCAAGTATTCTTGAGTTCTGCTATGGAACAGTTATTGTGCATGCTGATCCCCATATTGGAATTTAGTTTAAAACTAGACCAGAGCTGTGTTGGTCGAATTTCCCTGGCAGATGCAGTTTTCTGTCTAAAATAAAGCTATCGCAGAAAAAAAAAAATTCTAACCCAAGAACACATACATGAGATTTAAAGCATATGTTTCCTGTTACTGGTTCACCTAGTGCACTTCTATGATGTGTTTTGTTCTTGCACCTGGCTGCTCTGCAAGGGAAATGTGCCTCCATTGACGAAAGACACGAAATATTTTCTTTTACTATTTAAGAATCAAAGGGTTGTCGCTTATATCTGAATTTATTTTCAATTACAAAGATCTTCTTTGAGGAAATATAACATTGGACAAAAAAACGAATTACAGCCCAAGGAGATCTAGTGATGACTATTCGGTATTATGTTCGACCTCCTTTGAAGTTTTGGCAGATGATAGACACATAATTATTTTGAATTTTCCATTGCTGAAAAACTGAGCAATGTTAAACAACACAGTCAGGTTTAAATCCGTAACAATTAAAAAAAAAAAGAATTAGCCAGGAAATAAGAATGAGATGACTGACAAAGGAAAAAATATTTAATTAATACGCGCGGAGAAACAAAAATATTCAGTTATCTGACGAAAGTTTTGTAATTAACTAGAGGAAAATACATCCCCTGATTTTACCTCATCCATATCAGCTACATACATATTAAAAAGATCTCGTGTACATGAAAGCATTAAGTGAAGCAGAGCGAACGGCAGCCGTCCTCCATACTGCTGAGATCATCAAGGTATTTCCTATCGCTGATTCTATTAATGGCATAATGCATATGGTGTCTGCGGAAATAAATACGATGAATTGTGGTGAAAAGTTTTGATGCCGAAACAGAGCTTAACAGAGGCAAGCAATCTTGAAAGTACATTGAACAGTTTTTACACGTGTTGATCTTCGTGTGGTTAATGGAAATGTATCTTCTCCTCATTACTAGTTGACCTAATTTCTCAACTTTTCGCGTTTTTTTAAACTTCCTCAACTAAGAGAACATGTACAAGATATGATTAGTACACTCTGGTGCACCCTCATCAGATTTCCTTTATTTTCACACCTGGATACTTTTCGCGTGAATTGGCTATTTTCAACCGTTAATTAAAGAATCTCAAGCTTGTTGTCAACAACTGAATCTTTTTTCATTTTAAGCTCTGTCTCAATGCCCGTAGGTAAAATAATTTTTTTTCTCATAATCAATTCAATGTATTAAAGAAACAGGCATGGTTATGGAACCTTCTTCATTGTTTTGACGGATAACGGTATCAGGATAATAGCATTGTCCAAAGAAATCCCTCTGGCAAGAACAATATCTCACTCCTTCGCTTTGCTTATTTGTGAGATATTGTTAGTGCCACTCAAACACAAAATTCATATCTTCTTGCCACCGTCTAATATCCCTTTAAATATTAATTTAAAAAATATCTATCATGATCATCTTGTTCCTCCACGATGTTATCTCTGAAATTAGTGTGATCTGGCTGGCTGATCGAGTACTTTACTGAAAACACGGCGTATATATGAGATCATAAATATAGTTGCGGCATATGTCACTTTCTGAACATATAATTGGTAAGATTAAAAAAGATATCCCTAAGTTTGGCGAAATAATTGCTTTCATACCAAAATTTGCATGCACGAACAGACACTATAAGTAAAATTGAGATGGCAAATGTCACATATCTCTCTTTTGAAATTGAAACATTTATTTTAAATGGCAAAATGGCAGCACTTTTTGCCTTTATCATCCTCAAACTGAGATGCTCTTTCTTTAGAATATCATTCCTATGTAATACCATGTGGCAAATATGGGAGGGGTGATAACGAGGTATTTACATCTCACTAATCACACCAGGGGATCAAAAGATATCTTAACTTTATTTTGTTATTTATTTAACAGGGAGTATTGATGACAAAACCGTTATCCATCCTTCTGTTTCGATTTCTTTTTGTTTTTTTGGGATTTAACTTTGATGGGGTCTTTTTATTAAATATCTGTAAAACATTCCCAATTTTCTTCGTGACAAATAAATATAGTCCTTATTTTCGATGTAGATTTTACCTTCTGCTTTAGTTTTGACTTTAGTTCGAAAATTTGCTTTGATTTTAAATTTAAAATTAATACCCTCCTGAGATGTAAAAGGAAATTTGTAAACGTAAAGGAGGTCAAACACTATGCTGTTTCTATCGATACAATACAATTTATTATCTCTAAAAAAATAGATTATCTTTACCTTCGGACATTAAAACAAACTTCATTGAAAATAAAATTAGATCTATTTTTTGCCGAAAACACTTTAAAGTTTTCAGTTAACGAATGACAATGGGTCGTGCTCCTTGTAGGTAATGGCCCAATGCAGCGAGCACAGAAGTCAGGTGAAGTCAGCGGGGAAGTCAGGTGAAGTCCACAGAGAAGTCAGGTGCAGTAACAAAGAGATGAGGGTGTACCGCTCGAAAAAATATATGTTGTTTATCTGGTGCGGAAAATCTTGGATTAGAAAGCTTTTTCCTCTGCATTATTTTGCTCTGTGGTAGACATAACCTTGTCTGTGCTAAGAAATTCCACGAACAGAGTAGTGGACTCATTTCCCTTCACCGCGAAATTGAAAGAAAGTACCCAACACGAAGGTGAACATGTGCAAGAACCGTTCTATATCCCTTCAAGAAGAGGGGAAATCCTTCGTTCAAGACGACAATTACTGCCTCGATTTTGCTGTAATTCAGCTTCAAAGCGGTCCACCACAACTAATCGTTTGTGTTTGCATAATTAACGTTATACTATCAATAGCATCAGGAATAGCAAATACCTTGGTCATCTCTGCAATTTGGAAAACGCCAGCTTTACGCTCTCCTTCTATGGTATTGCTCTCTGGACTCGCTACAGCTGACCTTGCGGTTGCTGTTGTCGCTCAACCACTATTTTTAGCTATTAAAATGAAAATCCTCCTAACGAGCTCTGAGAGCGATACATGCGACTTGGGGATGATATTTGGTATTACCGTTTACGTGACAAATGGTGCATCGCTAATGACTGTTACAGCCATCAGTTTAGATAGGTTATTAGCAATTCGATATGATTTAAGATATCCTAGTATCGTAACAATTCCACGGGTTATCTACGCTATTTCTCTAAACTGGTTGATCAGCGGATTTCTGGCAACCCTTTTTTTATGGACAGGGTATGATACATACCTGATTATTACACTTTGTGGAATAGCCATTTGCCTTTCCTTTTGTAAAATTACACATTTGCGAATTTACCGCATCGTTTGTCGCCACCAACGACAAATCCAAATGCAAGTGGAGGCAGTACAAGAGGGAAATAGGTCACAGATGGCACGATTTAAAAAGACGACTGTCAACGCCTTTCTGATTCATTACTGTCTGCTTCTATGCTATACACCATTAATCATATTAAAGGCTATAATCAGCAGATTCAAAGGCAGCCTCGAGTTTGAATCGTGGTATAGGTATCATGGTCCTATTGCATGGAATTTGTCAGTTATTTTTCTTTTCATGAATTCGTCTTTGAATCCATTGATCTACTGTTGGCGTCTACGAGAAATGCGACTCGCAATGAAGGGAACCCTAAAGAGTGTCTTGTGCAAGAATTGATTTTCTTTTGAAGAGAGAAAAAATTATAGACAGAGCAGTTCTGGTCTAAGGTTACCAAATTCACTACATTGCAAAAGAGTCGTCTTTCCCATTATTCTTGGCATTGCATCGTTTACAAGTAGTTTAAGATGTTAAGCCTGTGAAATTCTTAAACGAGTTTGTAGCAGCAGATTATAGGATTCTTCCTTGGCCAGCGATAAACACTTTTTATTTCATACACTATGATAAATCAGCATCACTTTACAGAAAAGAGGTACCTGGGCTATTTGCGTTAGTGCTTGTTTTTTTTTTTTCAGATTTTTAAATGGATCTAGTGACAAATAAAGGTACCAAACGCTTCACAGTGTCTTGAACGTTTTAGTGGCGTGAAAAATGATCTTCAACTTGGAGGCGATCGGAAAATGTTATTTTGGTTAGACAAAATACAGCAACTAATAAGGATCCAGGAAGGAGAAGGGATTACTCGGAGTAGAACAGATTGGAAAGCTGCGACTGGTACCCTGGATTCTTTGATTGGCGAGCTCACACACTTCTATATCAAATTGCAAACATGTTGATTATTCGTTTAAATGATATCACGAGTCAACACTCTTTGCTACAAAGCCGTGCTTAAGGGTTGAGTTTACTTCTTTCTACTTTTTCATTGTTCGTCTGTCGACTTGACAAAGACTGCCCTACTTGCGATTCGGTTGGTGATCTTAACTACTCGAGCAACAGAGAAATTTCAAGGAGGCTCCAAATGGTTTCGTTATTTGTCACCTCTGATTCCTCGATGTTTCAATACTTTAACGCTTATGTCCATGGTGGCCTTGATATTTGGACAACTAAAAGTGACTCTGACTTGTATAACAAGATATCATAGAATGTTCAGAAGAAGAACTTTGATTTTATGCTAACATCCTAATAAATAACAGCGGAGGTCACCGAACTCATATGTAAATGACTGGCAAACAATTTACAGTTCGATTTAACACAACATTTTCTTTCAGAAACAGCCCCTAAAGACTTAAACCTGAAAGCTGTGCGTATAGGTCATATAGAATAACACTAGAAAGACATTAGAATAAAAAGGCACAATTGAAACACGGTTAATACCATGAAACTTTTACTACTTAAGCTATTAGCTGTAGGCATGTGCTTGCCCAAGGTTTTTTTTGGCAAAGAGTTCAAAACGATATAACTGATGCGAACCCATGATATGCTGCCAAATTATGTGGGTTCAGTTCTTACTCTTTTCTATGCCTTTTGACAATGCCCGCCGCACGAACATCGTAGGTGTTTGATCTATTTGAACACTCCGGGACTGCACTTAACTTTAATGACTTTATTTATTTTTAATATCCTTTTCTCCTAAACACTATCATGAAAATAACAGATCCAGCAAAAAATAATCATACGCGTGCAAAGAATGATCCAGTGGGCTCTGAGCCGGATAGAAGACATATATGGAAGAAGGAAACCGAAGTATCGCCCATAGACTCAACTGAAAAGAACGCAACCACATATTTTTCTTGCTCGACTTGAAGTCAAGCCAAGCCTATTTATTTCCTTCGCTATAAAGTGCAGATTCAATTGTCACTATCATAGATAGCCACAATAATGAACTTAAGGTCGTCGTACTTACATGTTAAACTCTGACAAGTTTACTGATCCATAAAGCCTGGAGGAACTAGAACAACTGGTCGAGATTAACCTTAACCCTACTTCCCTCCCCTCCTTACAAAAGAATGTTATCATCAATATCTTTAAGGAAATCAGCTTCATCATTGTTTTGGTCCTAGCACTTAGAAATTCGTCAGATAACATATAAAGTAAGATTCACCAATTCAATTCAAATTTAAATAGAACCTCGAATGATTTTCTATGATGCTGATGCAAAGCTTTTTTTCAATGAAGTAATTATTTGAATTTAAAGTAAGTTGGCTGCATAGCACATTGATGTGGCATATTACTGATACATAAAATTGAAGCCAAAATTGCCGTTTTGTTCATTTTGTTTTCATGAGCAATTGCGATTGGTTTCCCTTAATTGCAGAGGAAAAATTTTATTCCAAGAGGAGATGTAATAGATAATAATTGGTAATTTTTATTTTAATTCATTCCGGCTAAACTACTGAAATGTCTTTTCTTTAATAATACTTTGAATCAAATTTAAAAAATCGCCATCAGGATTTTTTTTACCCAATCAAAACGTGATGAGAATTTTTGGTTTTTTTAGACAGTCCCTTAGTTTTCCTTCCTTAGGTACAAAGAGCTAAAATACAAAATTTCCCAATATTGCGTACATGAAAACCACGCATATAATTATCATAGAATTTAACTAATACTAACTGAAGTAAATTTGAGTAATAGTAATAAAATACTTAATGTGTTCCGCTTTTCATGACAGGATTAGAGGATATTGCTTAATATAACTTTAACGAAATAAACTCAAGATGTTCAGAAAATGGATCGAAAAAGAAACCGGTTTAGTTTGTCTTCCGTTTAATAAGTGCTGCTAACATGACTCCGGTTGAGATCTAATTAAAAGTCAAATCATTTTGACATCTTTGGGAGAAACTGAGTAAACACAAGTCTACATCAAAGGACTCGAGTATTAAAATGTCCACCATGATAACCGTTTTTCAAGTACTTAAAGAAACCAAATTGCATCTTTTATTTCTCACAAGTACAGTATAAAGATGGTGTCTTCACCTTCCCTATCGTTTAAGGTTCTTCTGGTAGCTTTTTTTAGTTCTTCTTTATTCACAATCTCTAGGTCTACCGAGGTAAGGGAATTTTAGTCGACCAAATAGTTTGTTCAAAGTGGGAAAGATTATTGATTTACTCTACAACGGAAAACCAGAAAATTACTTTGGTTATGTTTAACATAGAATTCAGAAAAATTTCAAATTTAGGAGCTTTTTCGCACATAAGCTACTTCAAGCACGCATCGTCTTCGCCGATTTTTCTTCTTTTTTTCTGAAATGAAAAATATCAAAACCAACGAATATCAAACAAGAATGATTTTGTATGGAATTTTCTATGATGGAGATAAAAATTCAAACAGGTTTTTAGGTTTTGAAAAAAATATCTTCATTTTCTTTTTTTTTTTTTTGTATTAGAAGGAAACTTATTTATAGATCTTTCTGAATCCAACGTATCAAAATGCACTATATCTAATCATGAGATTAAAAGCCTTGGTTGTTTTAACAACCTGAGAGAAAAAGACCAGTTTTCAAATTTGTTTTAACCTTTAGTGCAGAACCTAGGTAAACACGTGCTCTGATTTGTTTCTCTAAGTCTCTCGATAGTGTTTCTGAACCACCCCCAACCTTGCCTCCGTTTCCATGCAACTGCAAGGACGGCACACCAGGAAGAGATGGCAAGGACGGTAGAGATGGCTTGACCGTTGTGGGTCCGCCTGGACCCCCAGGGAATAATGGATTGAATGGAACGGACGGAAAGAATGGCAGAGACGGTAAGGATGGAAGGGATGGGAGAGACGGAGAAAAGGTGAATAGGATATGATTTACTTCAGTTACTTTCCGTGACAATGAACTATGATGTGCATTTTTTTTCGCTTATCTTGCTTACCATCGCTACTGTTATTATTCCTTATTTTTTACTGATGACGTTTCCAGGGGAACCCAGGTTCTTCGGGTGAAAGAGGACCTCCAGGAGTCTGTGATATAGCAGAGGTGAGTAAGGCTGAATTATAATGTTAGCTAATTAAAATGACTCACTCACTAGGCCATAACACTTTTAGCAATACATTAAAATATACTGGGAGGACGAAAATGTGCAACTCATCCAGTAAGAATTCATCTCGTGATAAATGTATAGTGCCAACCGGACCAAGATAAGCTTGCTCGTTTATGAAGGCCACTAGAATTACTTTCAGGTAAAATACTCAACCACAAACTTTACTAATATAGGAAGTGTTATTCTTTATAGCTGAACTCAATCAAAGCTCGAATTCTTGATCTGGAACGGAAGGTAAGATTCCTTTGAGCTTGTGGTAGCATACGAAAGAATCAATTTCTTGCATTGAGACTCGGTAAGTTGTAATAATGTTTAATCCTACTTAAAGCGAGAGGCCCGGTATCCCTTCACTTGCATGATAATATAAGCTAATCAGCCGGTGGTCTTTACTCCACCTTCCCCCCCCCACACACACACACATTCCCCTAAGAAATAGAGATCATTACACTGAATTGTTTGAGCTTATTTATTAAGTTTGCAATTATCAAGGTGGAGAAAGTCAATGAAACTTCAGAGACGAGACTCAATATTTTAGACAACAAAATTGATGCAAAAACAGCTGAGCTACTGGCAATAATCCAGGTTAGTCATCCACACCCCTCAGTACATACAACTTGGTTTGAATATGTCAGGGTTTGGTTTTGGATAAAACTATTTTTAAATTCGTCGCCACATCTCTACCTAACTGTTTATTTCCCTCTGGTCTATGAGTACTACAAGATTTCCTTTGAAAAAAAGGAGGCATTTCCCTATTGGTTTAGGATAAGATTTACGAAGAAATGTCAAATGTCACTTATGAAGTAAAGGCAGGTTAGAGCCGAAAGACCAACACCGCATGAACCAAAGCAGGCAGCTAAGAATCTGTGTTTTACCTCGTTTTTCATGAAATAGATAAGTTAATTTTTTTTTGACCTGTCAGATATTAGGAGCTGTTAATTATATCTATCATTTGACGCTGTTTTGGTGAAAGATTTGTCCGAAACATAACTTGATGTTTGGCAGGAATAGTTGGATTTATAAGCCATTTTAATCATTAGAACTATTGTATCATCGAAGATTCAATTCTGTGGGACCAAACAAACAGGACTACGTGTCCTTGCCGCCTCTTAAAGTGGTGAAAAATTTGAGCCCTTTTGTCAGATGATGTTTCTTTTTCTTCAGATTGTCAATCAAACAATTATTCCAGGGCCTCAGGGACCACAAGGGCCTCCCGGAGAGAAGGGGCACAAGGGTGACAAAGGGGAACCCGGAAAGACAGGGCCACAAGGACCACAAGGAAAACAAGGAAAGGAAGGACCAAAGGGAAACAGAGGCTTTCCCGGTTTACCAGGAGCCAAAGGAGAAAAAGGTGATAGTGTCACACTAAAGGGCTGCAGACACAGAATGAAAAGTTCTGCTTTAAGAAATAAAAATGGCTTCAAAGAGGTTATACTGCAAGGGCCTTCGCAGGTAAGTTGATTGCAGTGCCTTTCATAATTACAGCCATCTATAACTAAATAGGTTAAGGGAGAACTTCTCCATGAATCCACTTGTAAAAGGAAACTTGTAAGCGGTCACACAAAATGTAATTTACGAGGTGACTTTCGAGAACGAAAGAAGGTAGATTGGGGGGAGTCTTTTCGAACTTTTAAATATTCGGCCAGGGATACAGATTTTTTCGTTTTGGGTTGCCATGTTTGGTACACTAAGAACACTAGATCTAATTGCAATCAATTAATAATAATCAAATAATACAGCGAAAAAAAGTCAATAAATTATTGTCAATATAAGTAAACTCCCTGTGTAAGGAGTGCCGCCGAGGCACCAATGATAGGATGAAGTAAAAGCTTTTCTTTACATGTTCATGTATCATTAATTCTAAAATCTACATCATTATCTTTTTCGTCTTTAAGGGTTATGTTTTAGTGGGAGTGACATGTGCAGCCGTTAAAGGAGGGATCGCTCATTTGTTTTATCAGGAAACAAAAAAGTCCTACTCGTGTTACTGTACTTTTCCATCTACTTGTAAAAAAGGAATTGCTGGGCGGGACGATAGACGCGAAAAGCGAAGTCCGTCTCATAAAAAAGATAAGGACTGGAGAGAGGGTAAACAACTAGATGGACCGAAAGAGTGTTACCTCCATTACTGGGAATGTCCTGTTCTTTGAAATGTTAAATGATAGATTATCAGTTCTAAGAAATATAATAAATCGTTTTAAATCAAACGCGCTCTCAGTTACAGCTGATTCTTTTCGGTTGTCTTCTGGAGAACGCTGTTGGAAGCCTTCGTGCAGATCTTGTCACAGATGATAGTCGAGCTGTTATAAATTTTAAATCGCTCCATAGTTTCTCTGTGTGTTTTAAGTTGTAGTCGAACCAATCAACAAAAGAATTAGCACTTAAATAAAACATTCGCAAAACCACTTGCTTCACTGTTTGGTTGCCGCCAACATTCACACATGGATTGATTTAAGGTAAGTGCTTCAGTCTTGAATAGATAAGCTAAAACATCAAGAAATTTCCAGTGGTCGCTTCAATACTCTTCACAAAGGCAATTATCTAGCTTAGACCTGGCTCCGTGCAGAATTTGAAAGTACATTTTCTAGACCAAACATTCCGTAAAATCCGTTTTTGTTTTCTGAATTCATCGAATGGGGACATCGATATTTTAACATCTCCTCGTTGTTTTCACGTCCTTAACTTGACTGTTGTGCTTTCATGTGTTTCGAGTATTTTTCTTCTGCTGTAGTGACACGGATGTCATATGCGGTTGTGAGGTGCCAAAAGGATCTTTAAGAAGCAGCAAAAAAGCCTTGCGAAACCTGTTAGATATTAGAAAAAAACGCATTTATTGGTTAATCGTTATAAAATTTAACAGTCCTAAAGAAAATTCCTGAGGAAGATTGGAAAAGGTGAGTATGTGGGGGAGAGCCACCATGGAAAAAATGAGAATCATGTGCGTCATATATGTGTCTCAATATTCGATGAAAACTATAGCCTCTTTGAAAAGGTACGTTAATCTTGTTAGGTTTTGAACGATTAGTATCCCTAGGATAAAACAAAAAAAAAAAACAAATCGCTCTTGATTTCTATGCGTGTCAAATGATTTGCACTTCGCCCTCATCGACAATCACGCGGTATAAATCTCGAGCACGCTTTTTATTATTATATAACGTGTTACACATCAATAGATAACTTTCCGGTTAGCAATACACTCAGTTTGAATTAATTATAAGGGAAGTAAGAAGAAAAAGGTATAAGCAAGCATTTTAAAGACAACACAACAAAGTAAAAATTTTTTTATGCAAAATCTAATCTCTTTCTCATTGTATAGTGAAAGTCAATTACAAGACAAAACCACCGCAGTGGGATATTTAAAAAGGAAGCGAGCTTACCTTCGAGTCCTTAGCGAATAAATGATAGGATTAACCATGCTGTTCAAATCCATAAGAAAATACGCAAGGAAATTAAGCCAAGTTCCGTGCTTTCTTGCGACGCTGTGTAACGCCATTGGCAAAACACCAAGAATGAGGAAGGCTAATACAGTCAGGGCAATTGTCTTGGCCGTCTTAACATCACTTCTAACTTGCTTTAAATGTGGATAGAGTGTCGACAACCTCCTTCTATGGTTGCATACCGTGCGCCAAATCATGACTCCCAAAATAAGCATGATAGAGAATGGAACCAGATAACCAGGAACAATAAAATATCTTCCAAAGTTTTTTAAGTAGTGTATCCTGTACTCGAGCACAGGTGCATCTCCAATATCAAAGTTAAGCCCCAGTATAAACATGCCATACGTGTAAGCAGCCGCAAGAACCCAAACGAAGAGTACTGCTATTTTTCCCTTTTTTAACGTCTTCCACGAATGGTAGCGAAAGCCAAACACAATGGCCCCAAATCGGTCCAATGTAAGCACAGTGAGATTGACCACTGTCAGGTACATGAACAGCACATACCATGTCACTATGAACCACGAAAGTGCACGACCCTTGAGGAAATACACCTTGCAAATGTGCCACATGATGAAGAGAGGCATGTTAGTGAGTCCATTGAGGATGTCTATGATGGCCAAATTGACGATCAGGATATTTGGCACTGTACGCAACGTCTTGAACCGAATAAATAAAATACAAATTATGCCATTGCCAAAAATGCTTCCAATCATAGCCGTGGCTATCATCAAAGTTCTTGATATTAAGTCCGAACACTGACAAAACGTCACGACGATTGTCTCGTTCATTTCTTTATCTGCTCAATTGACTTCAGCCTTTGTCAATTTCGAGCTGACACTGGGAAGAAGTTGAGCAATTGTCGTTTTGGTTCGTGTTCCACCTGGCTCGTGCACCTTTTATCACGCGAACGACACCATTTCTTCTACTGTTACATATGTCGAATGTGAAAACCATAGCCTTTCATTAACTCCACGCTCCGGCTAAAACTGAATACGTAAGACTTACGCCTTGCAATTAATCGTTCGTTTAGCACGATCATCATCGGACGAATCAGAGTAACCGTGGACTGCATGCATGGGATCACTGTATTCTTGTAAAGTGGCAAGTTTACAATTCATATGTGATAATCCAAGCGAGAGACAATTTTCATGATCATGCATGAATATAATATCACGGCTATCATTTATATTCTGTTTCTCGTTTAAGCGTCCAATATCTCACGAGTTTGACATTGCTATTGTTGCTTGGTAAACAAAACAAATAACGATATTCATTTGGTCATTAAAATTTTCTTTACCATTGAGTATTTGTAAGTGGCATGTAACATATGAGCTAGTTAAGTAAAGTTGTTTTTACCGATGCCGACAGCGGATATTAAAAAAGTGCTAAACGAAATTGGAAGTGACATTATTTGAATGAATGAACATTGTGTCTCTAAAGGACCAGCTAAATATTATTTTGTGATGAAGTACCCGCTTGGTTGACTCAGAGTTCGTTGGTTCGCGGTGTGTGATGGTTGCCCACTTAGCGCCACTCAGCAACAATAAGATAATGAAGTGCTTTAGGAAAAAAGATATTGTTTGTCTGAGTATTTGGTGCTGTTTAGAAAGAGGGTGGGTATTTTTAAAAACAACTATCAGGAAAGACGTCAAATAAGCCTCTCCAAAGGCAAAAACGTGTTGACTACTGTAATTGTTGTTTTGACCGCAAAGTTTTCGTTATATTGCCTTGCCGCGTGGGAGTTATGGATTTTATTGTTATTTTACCGCACAAGTTGGCGTGATTTTCATCTGAATGGCCACTTCCGCCTTCGCCTGCCACTGGAATATTCTAGCTACCTCAAGGTGCATTATTAAGAACCTTGCTAAAGTACACAAGATTTACCTCTTCTAAATAATGAAATCCTGTTCTTGTGAGTCTCTTAGACTCAGGCATACCTTAGGAAACCGTAAGTAAAAAGTCTTCTTTTAAGTAAACACATGACCCAAGAGACACCTAAAGTATTTTGCTCAATTAATCTAAATCAAAGTGTGTGTTTATTAAGACTATTCCAGAAATACTGATAGGCATTCTACGCCATATAAGCGTATATATCTTCTTTTATGGATCAACACCTATGTACTTATCTTACTTATGTTACTCTTGTTTCAATATCTTTCAGATGTTTATTCTTTGATCTCCTCTGGTATTTCACTTGTTTATTCATTCCCCGACAATTTTAATTTACGGTAATTTTAACTGAGAAGGACGTTTGTTATGAGATACTTTTTTAAGTTGTGAGATGTTGATATCAAAGCGGTCATTTTAGTTCCAGGTATTAGAGGTCTTTAGTAAGTGGCCGAGACACTTTGAGTTATTCAGCAAAAACGAGATGACGAAGTAGTGTACGAAAATAGAAATTAATTGTCTCAAGTATTTTGCACTGTTTAGCCAGGAAAGACATCATACGCGCCTTCCCAACGATCAAAAAATCAACATACTTGGCTTTTTTATCTGAACAAGCAGGAGGAACTATTCAAGTGGTTGTTCACATTGAAAAATCCCCGTACACTACTCTGTAAGAGAGACTAGACACACATACAGTTCAAGAGAATATTTTGGGGTGTTACAAAAAAAAGAAAGAGCAAAGTTTACTTTGAAAGAATTTCAGTTTTAGAGTTGTTTTTGCTTCCGGAGAAAGAAATCAAAAGCTGAAAAAACTTCAGGTACCTTTGTAAATTAAATATGCTAGATTTGAAAAACGGCACGTCGACGTGTCTCAAGTTATTATTATCCATTTTTTTTTTCAACTGATTGTAGTTGTATCACAACGGTTTTTCCTTAATTTTCATTCAGTGAAAAAGATAGCGCTTGAAGAGAATATTCAATCTTCTTTCTTGTTCAAAATAAAAAAAAAATACAAAGTAATTTTTTTACAACTTGCAACGCAACAATTGAAATTCGCTTTTGATTGGTCAAATGTGACCGTTCCTCATACATGAATGGGCTTTCGTTCAATTATGAGAGCAGAAACAAATATTTCAGTCTACGTAAACACGAGATATTTCCTCAAAGTAAAGTGTGGTAAGTGTTTTTCCAGGTTTCACTCAACTATAACTGATGTAGATTGGCACTTTTCAACAACTACAACCTAAGTGCGTTTTCCCAATAAGGAAATTTCAATTTGCTAATGACAATTTTCTTTTAGAGTTACACTAAAATACAGGATGAACTCCATTACGTATCCATCTTTGAAGTTATTTTCGTGCAAACAAAAACAACCTTCAGAAATAAAATGCACATCGTCATGATTTGTCGACTGATAGTCAAATCAGTGAAGCTCACAACATTCAATTTTGACCGATTTTGCGTAATCCTGATTGACGGGAAAAGGACCCGAAAATGGGATAAAACAGTTGTTAAAAAAAGGAACTTAAAACCTCTCAACAAAATTTAAATGTAACTTGTTCAATTTACGGTGAGTGTATTTTTAAAAAATTCAAGCAAGCGTTGCTCCTGTAAATCAGATATTAGTTGAAATTATGGCATTTCGACCAACCAAAGCTCATTGGATGCACAGTCTGCTTCTCCAGCCATGACTGTTGTCTTTCACTTTTTTTTAATTTTATTAATGACATCTGGAATCATAAAAATTTTAAATCCCTGATGATGTCGACTTTTAACTTCTCCCAACAATATTAGTGCTAAACATACTGCATACCATCGGTAAATATGCTGCTTTGTTAGAGAGTGCAACTACACTAAACAAAGATGAGGCATTTGATGCGTCATTATGACTTCAAGATATCTTACAGAGCTACGGCAAGGTGTATCAGATATATTGCACGGGTTATTTCTGACGCGCTTCAACTGAATATTTTTCTCTGAAAAGGCAAGCCATAATATGGTAGACTGCGTGATCTTATTAATGAATCTCCCTTCTTCCAAAAGAAACAAATTATTGGCAACACGCAGATGTTCCTAAACGGTCATACTTTTCTGACCTGACAAGTTTATTAGCCTTTTGGCTATTAAGTGCTACTCTGGCTATGGTTGTGTGTGTGTGGGTGTAGGGGGAGTGGAGGGGGCAGCCCAAACGACGCCCAATATAGTAAAAAGAGATTAATCTGGTGACCTCCTCTTTCCATCCTTCTATCAACAAGGGCCTGGTCCCATTCATCCTCAACGCGCGTCAATCCAGAAACATTATCGTTCACAGCTCTTTAGTGAGAGATTATTATTTAATTATGGAGTATATTCTATTAAGTAACTTATAATAGATGATAAATTTTGAGCTCCATTTCTTCGAAACCGGTTTCCACAGATGACAACTGCGACATTGCTGACCCGACCACCAGCTTGTTTCCATCTTTTATCACGTATGTACCTAATTAATTTGTAGCCTACTCTCAGATCAGTTCTCCGAGGCTCAATCGAAGACACCGGTCGGTCTTATGTTGGAATCCTAGAGGGCTGGAGTTATGTCTTTTCTTTGTCTCACGTTCATCACTTCTCAAAAATGTTTCGTTATTCGGTATTTCAGGTTTGTTGCAGGGCATGTGGGTGTACAGGGGAAGATCGATGCAAGGAAGTCTTGGGTATGTTGTAATAAAGACTGAGCACACAAATACGTACAAATATTAAATCTATCAAGCAAACTACGATTGTACTGCTTCACCATAGGAAAGGTCTTAATTTGAATATAATGCATAACACAGTGAAGAGAATGTGCAAAGATTTACCTCTGGTTTCAATGGAGTACATGTCAAGTAAATTGCGGAATTGCAAACAAATTTTATGATTTGAAGTTATACATTGAACTCTTTCCAAACTCAGCTAATAGTAATGTGCAGGTGTAAATGTTGAGACATTTGAAGGTCATGAAAGCAGGGTACAATGGAGAGTACGCCCATACCTTCCGCGCTCTTTTCTTAACCTCCATCTTTCCTACTCATCTGCTCATCAGTTTTATGACCGACATAATCTGAAGTAAACATCTGAGATTGCTGACTTGATTTATTGAAGTTGAATTGGCGATAAAAGCCAAGTGTCATGGCGAATGATGACATAGCAAACGATTCAAACGTGTATGGTGCGTTCTGTGGAGGCCATATAGAAGTTAAAGCACAGTTTTACCAAAATGTAAATTATATTTTGTATGTCTGGAATTGTATATACTTCATATGTTTTCATTGCCGGGTTGAAACATAGTTTTATGCGACGTCTAATCACGCCCTTTTTACAAGGTTTTTCTTTTTGCTCTAGAGGTTAGTAAGATCTCATCTCTTTACCTGTGGTGGAAACAGGTGAGACCGATATATCATATTTTACGCAGCATGTCTATGTACTAAAACAAGTTACGAAATGTAAATCAAAAACAAATATTTATCGTAGCCCTCTGAGCAAACTGTGAACAGTAGCCAGTGTAATGCTGTTAGGAAATCATGTTAACTAACTTTAGTTGAAAAGTGCAACGTACCCAGTTACAGTATAGCGGCGTGGTTTAATTTGTATAATTTACCTTTGGCGTTATTTTTATGAAACTAGGACATGAAATTTTACCGAAAACTGCACATTTTCAAGAAAACTATCCTTGACAGCCTCTCTCACTCAAGGAAATAAAATTTAATGTCTCTGATACGAAAACCGACCTTTCAACAAACTTGAAGACTTACTGTCCACTACTTGTTTCATTTTGTCAACATTTTTCTCTAAAAATTTTATTCAATATTGCTTTTATTATACTACTTCCTCTTTCTACTACTTGAACTTTCTTCTGTCCCCATAGTGACCGTTGTGAATAAGTTTGATTGTGTCTTTCCATGATAAGTTTCCTGTTCTTGTTCTCCAACTGTTTTTGGTTTCTAAACTAGCCCACTTAAATTTAAGAAACGGTGATTTGAAAGGTGTTGAGTCCCCCGTTCTTGTATTGCACATTTTTTCTTGAAGTTGATATCTGACCAGGTTCTGACTTGCCAAAAGGTTCTCTTAAGAACAACAAAAACGCTCTGCGAAACCTGTTGCAATGCAAAGCAAAATCAGAATAGGTAAGCTGATTGGTTGTCTACAACTAGTCTGCGATGGAACACAAGCAAAACAAAAATCCGGCCTTTTCAGAAAACTTCATCACAATATGTAACATGTGTCCATACGTAATCAGGTGTACCTCAGTTATGTAGAAAACGGAACTGAATTTTGCATCCTCAAGAATGTAATGAATCAAGTTGGAATGAAAGATTTTAATTCTCCCCTCTAGTGACTACAAAGTAGTTACGAAAATTTGGTATTAAATGAAGATAACATCTTCTAACGTGATAAGTTTGACTATTCTCTTTACATATTTGCAGGATAATGTATGCATATTTTAGGACAAGTTACATGTTAATCACTTATGGGAGTTAAAGGGTTAACTGACACACGTGATCTTTAGTTCATGAAAGAAAAGGGTAGAATTTCCTTCTTTTATTCGTAAATTGTCGATAAACTAGGTAACGCAAAATTCTAATTTTCACGAAGTGTAAACTTAACTGTAGAACCAAATTTTTCCTTTCCTACAACTTTAAAATGTAAATGTCATTAAGAATATTATCACTGCATCAGTTAATGCTTTGATATACATTTGTACCCTAACAACCACAAGTGAAAATATTGAAAGAAATTATAAAATGTTGTTACTTTGATATTGAGAACCCAACCGCGAAAGATTACTTTTTGTCCTCTTGTACGTCAGTTCCAGTTTTTTAGAATTACTTCGCACAAAAAAATGTGAACAATCACATGAGAAATGAAAAGGGATATCGGCAACCTCTCCTGGTCAAAATTTACATTTAAGAGAAAACAAATGAAATGCTTTGTTATTAGCCAATTATGGATAAGTTATTTTTATTTCAATGATAAATTTACAAATCGGGCAGCTTATATCATGGAACACTGCATTTTTATGCTCTCAGCTGTGCTTGATTTATCTCCGAACGAGTCCTACCGAAAAAAAGCATTCAAAAAAGCAAAACAGAAGCGCTCACCTCTGAGTATACAGTCCATATATAACTGGGTTCACCATGTTATTGAGGAGACTGAGAAAAAATGCAAGGAAGTGAGGCCATGTGCCGTGGATTTTGGAAAAGAAGTGCAAGAACATGGGTGCAACAACCATGCAAATGAACGCCGCAACAGTCAAACCGATTGTCTTGGCGGTCTTCACGTCACTTTTCACCTGCCTAGCCATAGGAAAAAACGGATACAAACGTCTTTTATGTCGGCGTACCGCACGCCAGATTAAGGCTCCTAAAATTAGCATGATCGCAAAGGGCACAAAATGGCCGAGAATGATGAAGGCCCTTCCAAAGCTCTTCAAGTACTGCTTTCTGTACTCCCAAACTGCAGCGCCACCAAGATCAATTTTGAGCCCTATTGGTATAAACATGCCATATGTATACGCAACCGCTAGAAGCCATGTAAAAAGTACAGCTATTTTTGCCTTGTTGACTGTTTTCCAGGTGTGATAGCGAATGCCGTGAACGATGGCTCCAAATCGATCCATTGTCAGTGCGATAAGATTGAATATGCTTAGATAAACAAACAGCACAAACCATGTAATGATAAAAAAAGAGGTAGGCCTACCTTTAAGGTAGGAAACATCACTGATGTACCACATTATAAACAGGGGCATGTTGGTCAAAGCGTTGAGGATGTCAACTACAGCCATGTGCGCGATCAGGATATTAGGGACTGTTCGCAAGGTCTTGAACCGGACAAGTAACAGACAAATCATACCGTTTCCTACTATGGAACCCACCATAACTAAGGCAATCATGAAAATTTGTATGATTCCTTCCGTCTCATGCGAAGTAAATGTCAGAGTTTCCATGTACGGTTTGGTCCATTCCCTGTAAATAATCAATTTATTTGCCCAGTCGATTTCCCTTGCCTTATGGAAGACATGATGAGGAGCACGTTTTTCTCTCAATCCCACATGAAACGTTGAGACCAATATCACTGCAAGTCTTCAATTTATACCAACTTCCAAAAGCTTAAGTGGGCCGCACCTCTCGATTGGCTATTTGCGTAGGAGACTTAAATTAGCCCGATGGCGACACGCAAACTAAATCAAATTAAAATCGTTTTCACTGACCATTCTGGTAAAAGTCAAAAGTTGTGATACGTTGTCTGGGAAACGAAGTGTTCACTTAATTTTTCGTCATCATTTCTAACATCACCTCTCGTTGTATAGCTTTGCAGTAACGGGAGCAACTTTAAACATGTAAGAAAGTTCTATTTGACTATTGCACCTTGTGGATGATGATAGAGACTTGAGTCGTTACCGGAACTAAAACTTGGAACTAGTGCGAGCTATACTTCGCCAGTTCGGAACGTGTACGAAATTTGTTAGTGGGCTTATTAAACGGTGATTGCTATGGGCGTAAATAAAACATGCTTTGACTCTTTGAAGTAATGTTTGATATAAAAGAGGACAGGTGCTTCGCGAAGCATTAAAAAAGCTTCTGTCAGAATGACTTCCTGAATTTCAGCCGGACTCGTTTGCTCGGCCGTTTCCCGTAATAAAATTCGTATATTGTGTTCAACTATTATGAGTCAATATATTTTAAAATTAGCACGCCAAAGAAAGCCGTTAGTCTCTTTGTCGTCAGGCGAAGAAAAAAGAACTCCTCGAAAATTCGACCCCTAGACTTTCGGATATGGTTGTTCGATGTTTTATACTTCTCCGCCACAATGACCCCGTTTGCAAACCAGGAAACGTACTAAGTTCTTTCGCCAATTAATTATTTTAAAACAGAGAGGGGTCATTTTTTTATGCTCTTTTTCCTCTAAGACAGACTAGTATCTTATTACCCTTATACAAAATCACTTCCGAGTCGAACATCAAGGTCATGGGAATAACGGAAATGATCGCCAACTAAAGAGCTTTTGATTGTTCAACAAATTCACCTCTTCGTTATCATAGGAAATGTATGGAGAACAGTACGGAGAATATGCATACTGATGTTATTGTGTGAAGAGTTAAGGATTTTTTATCTCTTAGTCTTAATCTACACTGAGCATCGCACACAGCTCTTTCTATGATTGAATTTATTGTCGTTCCCAACTCTAATCCATTCCTACACCATACTTCACCTAACACTTTCTCTTGTGTACAAATTTTATTCAGTAAATAACTGTGTTCCCACTTGCAAATGTTCAAATAATGATTACGATTAATGGATAAACAAATGTGAAGACGATTTTTACATCCGTTTAAAAAGTAAAAATCAAACTAGTTTTGTTTTGACTAAGATGAGAGGAGAAGTTGAACTAACGACTAGCGAGAAACGAAATCACTTGAGACGTATAATGCAAGATTTGAACTGACTTTGTTCCCCTACTTTCAATATCAGTTCCCTAACCTATGCAACCACTCCGCCTCATCCAAGACGGTACAATGAATCGCTGTGGTCTGAATGGTTTTTTTAAAAGATCTTGCTGTTTTGTTGCCCTATTGGAGATCATGCGACGGTGTTATTGGGATTATTTCCTCGAAAAAACTGTCATAAATGCGATCTAATATGTTCTTAATTTTCTGACCAAGAAGCAACAACCTTCCTCAGGATTTCAAGTGATCTTTCTAGGGAGAAAATCATGCGGCAGGAATAAAGTCCATAGGTAAATATCGGGAAGATGATTATTCCTTTTCGCGCGCGTTGATTGGCTGGTTCAGAAGTGATGAGCAATTACTTTTCACCTTCAAGCACACAGAGAAACAAAATCGTGCGTCAAGAGTTAAATTTCGGAACATTTTCTCTATATTGACTGAAATAACCTAATTTTTTGGTTTTTCTATTGTATATACTAAAACACTTACTGACCTCTCATACAGACAACTCATTCATCGTTTCTCACAAACATGTATGATAATCAGTGACTCTAAAAAAGCTTCAGAGTTAGGCAGGATGATTTGACCCAATTTAGTCAGTAGTGAATAAGAGGACAGTGAAATTTCTTAATACGAAGCGATAGCATGAAGAAGCAAATCTCGAGAGGTGGCAGAAATTAATCATCCGTCGTTTATTCTAGAACAAGAGCACTAATTAGTGAGCAGAAAGGAAACAAAAACAACAGATTTAGAAAAGGCTCGTCACTCGAAATGTTTTATTCATATAAGGAGGTTCCTGTGATTGCTTCGAATAAGGAAACAGTTTTCTACCATAAATTTCGTTTGTACCTCTGATACATTTCCCAAAACTGAGAGAGTGTGCTTCAAATTGAAACGGAAGTGAAACAAAGAAAGAAATAAACCTAACCACCGGCAACATCGACGCACCGGAAATTACGCAGTAAAACACCAAAAGTAACCTCCGGCCACAAGCACATGTATCAGTAAAATGAAGAGCTCCTCACGTTCCATTTGAACAAATAATTTCCAGTCAATGAGTACATTCATCTGTTACTCAATATCCTTTTTTTAAACCGAATAGACCCAACTGTCGTGTGACCAGCTCAAAAGCCATTTGATACATAAGTGAGCATACGGTACTCCTAAGGCAACAAAAAGCGGCAAAAAAGAAGAATTTACTTTCGCAGGCTTGCCATGATACTTAAAGCATTCCAATAGCAAGGATAGCACTTTTACAATCACTCATTTTGATTGGGCGTACTATAGACTGAAGGCAGACGGAAAGATTTTAAGTTTTGTGCATGGAGTGAACGTCATAATCAACCTCTCTGATAACAACTCGTTAGTTAAGATGCATGTCTCCTATGGTATGCAATTTCCTGGATTTTGAAAAAGCAATCGACGTGAAGGATACCAACTTTCACGTACGGTAGCGTGTCGGAGAATGCTATGTCGGTTCATTAAAAGTTTCCTTTCATACCGCAAATTGGAAACAGAGTCCTAATCTACATTAGTATGGTTTCCTGTGTTTGTGATGTAACTTCCTATTTTCTTGAGGGTGAACGCAAAGCAGCGATTGCTTAATTTTCACGGTTATACGAGTACTTTCATCGATTGGATGTTTTGCCTCCTGATAATAGATTGAATTATCAAAAGAAATGGTCTGAACGTTTTCAACTTTCAACCAACCTCTTTAACAGAACTGTAGTGAGAAGTGTATCGAGCGCTACTGAATTAGGCTAATCATTTATCAAGATGCAGAAAATGTGAAACAGTTCCTAAGATCCTTTACCGCACAGACCTGCAGGTTTAAATGTACTTTTTAAGAAGTAGGATGAATTGAAGGCACGTGCACAGGTTTCAGTTCCCTTAGAAATAAGCAACGATATCTAATCATTCACTATTAGAGGGCTTTTTGAAGTTGCCACTGGAGGTTCTATCAAATGGCGAGATCACTTACTATTTGAACACTGTATTTTCCAGTCATTGAGTACATTCTTCTCTGACCCCATAACGTTTTCTTTCATCCAATTAAACCTAACTTACGTGTAACCTACCCGGCAGCTATTTGTAGTAATGAGTACGCGGCACACTTACGGCGAAAAAATACTTTACTTTTGCAGGCATTTACCATGAAAAAGCAAGATTATCAACGTTATGGTCACATATTTTAATTGGGTGTACTCGAGGCTGAAGGCAGAGGGAAAAATTTCGTTTTCCTTACTCTTTGAACGTCATCCCATGCGTTTATGCAATTTCCTAGATTTTGAAAAAGCGTTCGACGTAAAGGGTACATTTTCACTTACGAGAGCGTGTCGAAAAATGCTCTGTTTATTACAAGTTTCCTTTCATTTCGCAAAGTGGAAATAGACTCCTAATCTACTTTAGTATGGATCGCTTTCTTCGTGATGTGACCTACAATATCCTCAGGGGTGAATACCGAACAGCGATTGTGTAATTTTCTCTGTTGTAGAGGTGCTTTTAATTAGATTTGTAATCTATCCTGATTGTATCTTGAATGCTCAAAAGTTAAGATCCAAAGATTTCGACTTTTAACCAACTCCCTTAAACAGAATTGTATCGATTGGCGCGTGATGTGGTGATCTGAAAGTGTATCGGATGATGACTTTTGACATGCAAATACCAGTGTTAAAACTTAAATCATACTCATATCAAACACGTTCAAACTCTTATTAGAAACTTAAAGGTTTAGTACAAACAGTTCCCCTTAAAACTAGAAAAGATTGAAACAATTCATTTGTTAACCTAATAACATCCATTCAGTTCTTTGCTCAAATTCTTCCACTGATGAAAAATAAATAGGTCATTACTCATAGTAAATAATTTTTAACGTAACCTTGCAGTCTTTAAAAATACCTTCTTCCCTTAAAAAATTATCAAACATATCACAACGTTCCTCATTCAAACCTAAGATATGATTATCAGTCTTCATTAAAATCTAACATAGGTCAACCAGTCTTCGTATTCACTTGCATTCACAGCGCCTCACTTAATGACATCTTAGGACTTGTATTACAGCTCTGAGGTGGCACTTTATGATACTGATCTGGTGCCTCGTCCCCTAGAGGGTGCACAGCCAATTGTATCTGCATCTATTGATTTAATTTTCATCACAACTCAGCAATTTTCATCAACACTTTCATCCCGAAGCAATGACAGTATTTCTGCTTGTCTTGGGTGTTGGTAGATTGTATTTGAGACGAATTTGTTGTCGGAGAAGTTTTCTTTGTTGCTTCTCCAGTTTAGCCTGCTTTTTGTCATGTTCATTCCAAACATATGTTCTCGCAGTGTAATCTCTGTTTTTCAGATTGTACTTTTTCTTAACATCATCAATACGTTGTTTGCTTTCAATAGCTCGTTTCTCGTATTCTTTTGTGTTCTTCCTCACAGCTCTAATTTCGTTGCCAGTCGTTGGCACTGAGAGACGCTTTCCCAACATCTCACGGTTATTTCGTTGCTTGCTGTCTGTATTCCTGAAAAAGTTAACAATAAAACAAGTAAGAAACTGATGGAGGAGTTCGTTAAAGAAAGATAAATTGAGAATAAATCAAGGAAATGCTAACTTAAACTTTTGAACTGGTGGTATAGGTATGGTATGCGTATGTACTAATTTGCAGCCGTTTTATCTTCAGTGCAATTATTGGAAACAAAAAGTCAACTTGGAATGCCAAAACAGTAAAGGCAAAGTTATGAAATTCTTAGCGATTCTCTTCTTCACTGGTTAGGTTCATTTTTCATAGCCATAGGACTTTCCTATGTGTTTAGAAACTTTAAGAATAGTTTTGGTATTTTCTACGGAGTTCACTAGTAAATAAGTCGTAGAAATATTAACTGTGGAATTCAGCATCAATATCACGCTCTGCTGGAGTCGTAGGAGGAGGTTATGAGGTAAATAAAGCATTCCTATATATGGGCATCACGAATTACTAGTGAAACAAAAGAAATGTTTGATACCTATCTTTATAATCAGCTATGAGTCATCTGTTCAACGATTGTCTAAATTAATATTATACCAAGTTTGTAGGATATTTTGAAATAAAATTTCACGTTAAATTTATAAAATGTTAACAAATTTTTTAAGAGTGTTGGCAACATACTTGCCGTCTTAAATTGAAAGTTGCGTGTAACTAAGACAAAGGCAAACCCGCAGGACATTTCGATCTAGAGTAATTTGCATCACAAAGCGCAAGTAAAGGGGCTGCATTTGTGTATCGGCAGGAAAATTATTTACAAATTATCAGAGAGGCGATCGTTTATTTGCCAGAGATCCTTTTAATATAAGAGTGGCAGAGTTAGAAAAGTATGAAAAGAAGATTTATTTTACCTGATCAAAACAATAATAGATGAAACAGCACAGAAAGCGTAGTTTGAGGGCGAAAACGTGAGATCTGTCATAACAAGAGACCGGAAACTGAAATAAATGTAAATCCTGGTGGACACAGCCAAAAAAAATTAACGATTGTTGAATTAGCTTTATGTGATGTTTGAACATCAAGAAAACAGGACGTGTTCAAAAGAACAAAAATGTCAAGTTCCAAACAAAAGGAAAGTGTACAAAGAACTTTTACACCTGATTAGCTGTAAACGGTGACAATCGATAGCACAAAAGCCACACTACGTTAGCGAAATGTATTGAATGCACATGGAATCCATGTTTCAGGATATTTCTTGCAGAATAAAAAAATGGCTTATTGGCAATCACGTTCTCAGTTTTGGTCAATTCAGACGTCCTTTTGCCATATCATTCTTGAACTCCCTAGAATAGAGTTCTGTGAGGTTTAGCGAATGATAATTTGTTTTGACGAACTTGCCGCTGGCGCTGAATAATAAGGATGTTGATTAAAATCTAAGCAGTCTCGGTCGGATGCTTTTCCGTCGTTTCATTTTGGAATTATCTAGAATCAAGTTCTGGAACGTTCGGAGGGAAATAATTTTTTTTGACGAGCTGGCCCCAAGCGCTGAATGATAAGGTCTTAACATAACGCTGCGGTTGGAAAAAACGGGGATGCTCAATTTATTTCAAGCAATAGTCGTTCAGTCAAGAGAGTGTCGACAGTGTGCCTTGATTTTAAAAAGTTACAAGATATTCAAATATGAACAATCTGGCTGACTGTGTATTCGCTGGTGACAGATTTTTTTGTTTAGCGTGCATAATCGTTCATGTAATCTGCGTGTGTTAAGCTGCTAGTCCTGCAAATCTAAGAATTCTGCATTTTAATACTTTGAAGAAACATTAAGTGCTTATACAGACTTCCAACAAACATTTAGCGTCTGTTAAACGAATGCTCGTGAGATATTTGTCGATATCACTTACCACGTGAACCAGTAGCCATCGAGGGGAGTTAATAACTTTCAAAGCTACTCAGCATGCTTACACAGCAAGAATTTACTATTTTCGGACACTCGAATAAAGAAAAATCAAAGAAAACCTAGCCGTTATTCGTAAGATGTCTTAAAGACCCGTTAGCCTGGCATTAAACTGATCTGTTCCATAAGCTTATTTACGGCTCCCTTTAAGTGGTTTAAGAGTTGTTTATCAAACGCGCGCAGATCGCGGACAAGATAGAGAAATGTACGCATTCGACTTATCAACCTCAGTCTTAGGAAGTTACTTCCTTACCTGTTTTGTTCATTTAAGACATTGTTGTTTCTCTTCCAGTCTAGATAAGTAACGTCATCGAGCAGAGCTCCTTCGCTCAAACTCTTTTTCCTCTCCATGAGATATTCGTGATATTCAGGGGCATCCAGATCGATGACGTAATCATCAGCCCTAAGCTCCGTGTCTGAATCCGAAGAAGTCCCAACAGAAGGCTCTTCTGCCTCGACCGGTGGTGTGTCTACAAAATTTCCCATCGCGCTGAAGTCAACGTTCAAAGTATTCAAGTTGTGTCTGATTGAATAAACTCACGGGGTCAACATATTTATATAGTCGGGAGCCTCGCCTTTGTTTTCGTTACCCACGTAGACCAGCTAAGTGCTAAATTTGTCTCAGACAAATCCGAATGCTGATTGGCTGGCATGCGACCCGAACTAAGTCCGAGGTCAATAGAAACGTGAGCACGCCGGCGATCACGTTCATTTGCGACAGGAAAGCTTGAACGGGACGTAGGTCAATCGCTTAATCCCTTTCGATGAAAATTGAGCGCGAAACCACACATTATGAAGAGTAAATAACGCGTATAGATATGGGCAACATGATCGGAATTTGTTCAAAATGCAAATGCAAAAATCAAATTGGTTAAATAAAAGAGATGCGTCACTCTAATGAGCTGGTTGAGTGTTCCACTCAATTGAACAATACAGATCTTATTTAGCTATCGAGTTACTATAAACAACGAGAACACAGCTTAAGTGTGTTACGTCTCTTTCAGTAGTGAACGTTCTAATTTTCATAATCTCCAGTAACAACAGATAAAAATACCGTTCGAAAAAACAACGGAATATTCTCCATTTTTCCAGATTCGGGTGATTCGCATCGAACCATCAAATGACGAGCAAAGTCATTGTTTACTGATTACCGAGAAAGTCGAAAAAATTTTTCCTCCTCTAAATATGTCTCTCTTGTTTCTCCTGTCTATTTTTTCTTTTATTTCCATGCTGATCCGCCTAGACTCATGCGGCCATAAAATAAGAATCTTGTCATCAACTGTCGACTCTGGATTCATGGCAAATTGGGTTAAAGCGCTAGGCAATAACTAATATATCCAAAAATGGAAGAACTGGAAATCATTTGATACTTAAGACTCATCCAGTTGTTTATCGATGGAACGATTCTGTTTACCGGCGCAAATCTCACGATACACGAGCTTCATATACGGATGTTGGCTGCACCCAAATGCGCCAAGTCTGCAATAACAAGATAAGAAAAAAAATTAGAGAAAAACATTGATTATAGAAAACTAACTGAAAAACCTGCCCTCAACGCAAAAGAACAAGAGTTTTATTCGCAAAGGAAAAAGGGTCTGTCTCACCGACAATGGTCGAGGAAGAGTCCGTTTGAACGATTTTGACTCCACTGTTACCTGCTAAGAGGCGTGGAAGAAGCATTTGCCCAGTGTCCAGATCACACCAAGGTTTGAGACCGTCAGTATTTCACCTCGGGAGATTTCAAAGCTACTTCTTGATGAGGGACCCTATTTCTTAACGACTCAACTTTGCATTTTTCCCCAAGAAGAAAAACGTCTCTTTCTAAGTTTTCACGGAAGTAGAAGTCCGTGATACCAAACAAAGATCGAGAATACTGCTTTTCTTGTTATTATTTCTTTTATTCAATCCAAGAGCTAAACTTGTTGATGATTTCCCAACATCAAGCTCTTCATCTCGTCAGGTTTGCCAGCCGTAATTGCTTCCAAAACTGCAAAATCATTAAATAATAGCCATTAGTTTTGATTATTCACGCGATGTTGCAAGTCCTCTGTTTAATTTGCCACAAAGAGACAGTTTGCGAAACTCTGGGTTTAAGTTTCTCCCACGTGTACCACCACCTTGACGCTGGTTTAGTCTTGGGGCTTAAAGTTATTTCACGTAGGTATTAATACGATCTGGCTGTTAAATTCCGAAAGAATGCGTTGACGAGCCCGAACCTCCAAATTACTCATCTACACCATGATGTCGCAAGTGACCGCAATACTTTAAGTAATCCATTACTGTAGGGATATGACATGGTGTGAAAAAGCTGACAGTTTTGGTAATCAGTGTTCAATAGAAATAACCTCGTAATTAATTTCAGTATATTTAATTCAAATATTTCGATTGTTCTAATCAAAGTCGACATCTTTATCGTGGATTATCGAAAACAAAGAGAGGTCCGCGAAGTAACAGAGGTACTCTCTGGGGGAGCAAACTCTCGCAGCATCAGGAAAGGCTTGCAGATGCTTTTCTCGAAAATAATCAAAATAACCATGAAATCTCTAGACATACTCAACCTTTAAAGTGGATTTAACAAAATGTTCATATGAATCATCCGGATTTGGAACAGGATAACTTCAGTGAGGGGTGTGTGAGAATCACAGCATTAGATTAATTTCCATGGAAACCGAAAAACAAAAACATAACTCGTCCCATCCGGACCAACATACAGTGACGTCACCAACACTGATACTATAGTATTTCTATAAGTCATCAAGTTAATTCAGCCTTCCCGTGAAGAGATATCTGATTTTTTTTTCAAATCTGGGAGGACATAAAATTTTTCATGAACATTTCTCCATGATCTGAGTTTTTGCGAGCCTTTTCTTAAATTCTTAAATCGTTTATTTTACATGAGTTTGTTTTCGTTAAGCGATGTTTATCACATTGTAGTTTTTCTCTGCATTTCATTTCAATTTTGTGTCTTAGTGAGAGTCGAAAATATTTCGTTACGTCAATCTTCGAGCTAAAGTTGTTTCAAGTCCGTCATAAACTGAAACAGGGAAAAAATTTCGGTTCCAAAGACATGAAAACTGGCCTGTCGATTCAATCTACAGTATTGTGTTTCAAGGAAATGACTTCAATGTCACCAAAATATGGAATCACCTTACATGGCAAAAACCGTGCTAACAAGCTTGTAAAGTAATGGGGATTTCAATCACACTGAGAAGTATGTTTCCACGAAACCAAAAAAATTCGAAGTTAAGGCAGTATACTTGATTTTGACAAATATCGGAGCAACAGAAACGAAAGCAGTGGAAACCTTTTGCTTCTATATAGATTAAGGCCAACTTAGGAGCACCTCAAAACTACAAATTACTTCACAGTTACAACCGTATCAGAAATTACATTACACGAAACAATCGCAGTAATAAATCTATTCAGTAAAACCATTTAATACAGGGTTTTAGAAAAAAAAAAACCCAGATATTCCAGAATTTAAGGCAAACCTCCTAATGATCATGGTAGCTCGGTTGTAAATCTTTTGTGGTAGACAAACAGAGATGGAGTGGAGAGGAAACGCGACTTGGGGTCGATAGCGTAAGGTAAACAGCTGAATTCAATCTCCATGGAAACCAAATACACAAAACACAAACTTTCCCGGTCCAAGATAGAGTGTTAAGTATGAAATGTCGAGCAGTGATACTGTAGCAAAATTAACCTGCATAAAGCATTCCTAAGGAAATTTGCTCGTTAAGAGTGGATATATATGTTAGCGCTAATTTTAGTGGATATGTATTAGTGCGTGAGACCTTTACTTGCGGCATTTCAACGGGTTTGGAAAACTCTGAAAATTCTTTGTAGAAATAACGTTTAGCAAATTCATCATTTCATCAGGGAGTTGGCTAAGATGTTTTTCACATGTCAGTAGATTGAGTCGTGACAAAACGATATGCCAAGAGTGCTAACTTAGTTAAATGTGCGTTCAACCCTGCACAAATCAAAGTAGTTAATAGCAATATCAACACATATTAAGCTGTCAACATTTCTAAAAGTAGACAAAAGAAACAAGGAAGTACTTAGTCGTATCTTTCCGTTCAAAGGAAGCTCATTTGTACCCACAACTTACGCAAGTGTTAATTCTGAAAAACCAGGTTGGCAAACTTTATGCGACACGATACTAGCGAGTAAAAGCTTTATCCGATGTTTTAGCTCACTTCCCTCAGACAACGGGAAAGATTACTCTTGAATTCGTTTATCAAAGCATATCGAACACGTATTCGGCAATGGAAAAAAGAGCAAAAGAGAAATAAAGAAATTCTCTAACGTCATCTCAGCAAATATCCAGTTTAGAAATCAGGATTCAATGAACGCGAAATTCCTCAATATTTTTTGTAAAAAGTATATTTTTAAACTTTTCGCTTGTTTTTTTTCCTCATTCGCATTGAAATACGCTAAAAAAATATTTCTTTCTTATCTTTGCGCCCAGTTCCGCTTGTCTGTATCGCGATTTGATAAAACTTAATTAAAAAGTGAACAAAGGATGTAAGTTTGTGAAGAAACTGTCGGATCCAAGGCAGGTGGGGGGTATCAAAAGGTTCCCTGGTTTTACTAACGGTAGTGATAATATAAATAGGCATGAGTAAAGAGTTCCTAAAGCTGAAGTTTCGAGCGTCAGCCCTCTGCTCTGAAGAGGTGCTGAAGGTCTATTTTTAACTATTGCATTTATGATGCGTCATTTGGACGAACAAACTTTCCTTAACCGGGTAACACTGAATTCAAACGCGACTCTATGCGCGAGCTTTACTCAGGCTGAGCGGGCTCATTCGGAACGACTACCTCTCTTTCCACTCGAAAAGGACGTATTATGAGAATCTTCAATCCAGTCAAATCATTAGAGAATAACACACTCGAACCTCTCTGAATCAATAAACCAACTTTACCAACTTCGTCAACTTAAAACAAGGATACAACTGGTAGGTATCAATATCAGCTGCCCCCAGTGAAGGCCGTTTGTGGGCAGTAAGCCTCAAGGATCCTTGAATAATAGCTAGGATCAAGTATCCTATAGGAAACACACTTGTGAATTGGAGTCCAGCGTAAAACAAAAGAGAAAGATCTGATAGAAAAGCAAAGAAAGGAATACCACACCTCAAAAGACAAACTGCACGAAAAAGATTAGTAAAAATGGAAAGGATATTGCACGATCGAAAATTCAACGAAAAATAACTATTCAAACCTTCGGCTAGATATCAAGTACCCTCTTCCCCTGCATTATACTTCATTCCACAACAATCCTTAGAGAAACCTAGCTCTTTAGATGGGATTTATTCCAACTATCAACTTCAGTATTGACCACAAGTGTCATTTGGTTCGTACATTAAATGCAAACTTCATACTCGACTGAGTCAGTTTCATATACTTTGTATTCGACATTATGTTATAACTTTCTGTTTTCCAGTGGAATTTTGTTAATAAGGACACTTCATTTATTTTGCTCAGAGGATAAATCTCATTTATCGTTGTGTGGGGTTGCTATAGCCCTGCTATATTAAGTTCCATGGAAACCGAAACTCAGAAATACACTCCTATTTTCAAGGACAACCACCATGTTGAGTGACGTCATAAGCAAGATCTTTATCATGCTGTACCATAATGATACTGCAGAACTGAAAAAAAAATCAAACTGCCAACGTAAATGCATTTCATATAGATGTAGTTAGTTTATGCTTTTTGCGCTGTCACTAAGCGACTTAAATAAACATATTCAGTAGAAAACCAATCACATTTGCTCGGGAAATTGTAAGCTTCACTGATTTTGGTTGATGTGGCGAAGACAGAAGAGGTCAGCACATAATTGCAAGCTGCATATTTAAAGTATAAGAAGAGCGTGTGAAGTGCTCGCTGTTGACCTTTGCTAAAGTACGAATGCATGATCTACGACGAAATTTCATAACACCGAGTCAGTTAAGCGAACTACCCTAGAGCTGAAATGAAAAACTGATCGATAGGCCGCCCCGATTTGCACAAACTCAACTGGAAATCGATAGAGAGTGAGTTTACAGATAAAGCATACATTTCACACTTCAAAATTCGAAAGCGGAAATTTTTCAAGGTGGAATTTAAAATAGATCTCTCGTTCCCACGCCGAATGACTCATTATCGTTAGACAATGGTTCTAAAATAGGGTCTCAGTGCGGTTAACTGCTAGCCGTAAAATGGCCAAAACATTCAGCCTTAAGGCGTAAAAATTGACAAGTTTTAGCCGTTAACCATAAAAAAGGTTTGTGGTGACAACAGTGGAAAGATATTAAAAGTTAGCCGTAAATCGGCCAAAATTGTAACCGTTAGTCGTAAAAGCCATCCACCCACTGAGACCGTCTACAAGTGTTTCGCACGTATTCAATTTTATTCATTGGAATTAGGAACTCTAAATAAACTAGTAGACCTTTGAAGCTATGAAATCACATCCTCTACTTTTGCGGAAGTCGAAAAATGAAGTTTTACATATTCAATAGTCCCATTTGAATTCCTACGCGCCGGAAAAACTGAAAATTTTTCCGAGGCTGCCTGAAAATATATAGCATGATATAGCCTGAGGCTGTACTGGCACGGTAAGTTTCGCATCTATACTTGTATTGTACGACTCTACGAATATTGTGCTAGGTTTGCAAAGATTGACGAGAGAAAAGATCGCAAAACAGATAATGATTCAAACAAAACCGCCGCTTGAAAATAGTTGTTGAAATGTCTGTTGCAAGTCAAAACCTAAATATCTTCGAACACCTCTACAGCTATGTGATGACAGCTAGATTAGCTATCGAGTAATATGGAATCTGTTACACGCAATGTTGTTAACGCAAAGTCAGGAATGGGACGTGATCCCGTGTATCTGGCCAAAGAAATAAAAATGTGACAAAGCAACAAGGACTATCTGCAGTTCGACGAAACGAAAACACTTCCTTGACGACTGAAAGCAAAAATAAGTAAAAGGAAGAAATGAAATACTTCCGACATTATCTTAGCCAACAAAGTGATCTTCCCCGTTGCCATACAAGTCTATGAGTACAGATGAGAGAACAGATGCAAGCTCACGCAATCTCTGTTCTTGTGTAAAATAGGGTTTGTTTTTGAAGATTATACGAATGTGTGAAAAATTGTTGTATTATTTGTCATAAAGCAAATAAGGCAGCCTGGACTGTGCTCTGTTCTGTTGTAAAGCAAGCAGGAAGCAGTTAGAGCTACAAAGAGGTATAAAAAACACTTGACTACGTCTCATGTTTCCCCCTACACTTCCACCTTGCCACTTCCTGCTTGCTCCACAACAGAAACAAGCACAGTCCAGGCTTCTTTTTGGTTGATTTGCTAGCTAATAAGTCTCGATATGCTGAACATGGTCCCTGAGGTCGACGTGGCACTATCCTGTGGAACAGGCGCCAATTTGAGAGATACGCCCAAGAGACACTCCCAAGTGTAGGTTATTTTGGTCGCGCTCCTCCTCTTCCGCAGGTCTTATGTTTTCCTCTGCTCGCCTGGAAAATACAAAAGCTCCGTCGCCTGTTCCCTAAGGCAAATGTGCTACATTTCACCGTCTTAGACGGTGAAATGTAGCATGGTGAATGGATTTTTTTTTCAACAACAACTGACCAAAGGTTAGAGCGGCACCTCGCTCTCTCGGGGGTGGACGAGAACATCGAACAAACTTTCAAACAAGATGGAAAATTTCGAATAAATTGATGGAGAAAGATGCTTATTCGTCTTGTCTTTGTCTTGCTCTGTATTTCTTTTTTAATGGAAGCTTTGGCAGATCTACGGCATCTTCTGTTCTCGCTACTTCTCATTGGCAATTTTCTATACTGTGTAAGGGTACGTCACGCGCTATTTGATGGAGATAGTAGAATCAAAGTTCTCTAATTTTATAGAATAAAAACGACATGCCACGGGGTAGTCCTTAGGAACGTTTGATTTTCCTCGCTACGAGAAAAACGGAATTTGAGCTCATTCATTTTGCACAAACGCGTGTATCCGCGTAATTCTGCGTGTAACGCGACGCAATTTACTTTGTCGGACGAAAATCACTGGGAACAAGCTAAAGGTAAATTCAACATGGCGACGTAAACATCGAGACTCAAGAACGATGGAGATAACTGCATACTTTGACACCAAAGAATCCAAACAACGGTACCTGAAGCATAAATTACATTTCAGCACATCTGACTCTTTTATGGAGTTTTAATGGAAAAAAAGAGTCGAGCAAAGCGGCTGAAAAACTCAATGGAGACCAATTTTGACGTTCAGGTCAACCGTGAAAGGTAAGGAATGAACCTTGAAAAAATGCTTTAACGACCATTTTAAGTCAATGTCACGTTCTTTGTTATATTAAATTTCGATGTGAACAGGTAAACTGGTTAAAGTACATGCATATCCTCTGAGAACACTTTATCTGCAAAATGTGCGGGTGTCATCATCATCATTTTGATTTGGTTTCAGTGAGGCATTTCTCTTTTCCCCTTTTTTCCACGAATTCCCACTTGCCTGAGGACGAAACTCCCTTCCAGCCATTTATATTGGTTAATGGTACTCTGCACCTAACTTCTGACCTGCAGTGTACATGTAGATCGGAAGTATCTTAGATTGGCCAGCAGATTGTTGCAATCGATTTGTTTATCCTCCATTCAGAATTTCGAAAGGTACTAAATACTGTTTTATGTGAGAGATTTGAAAATGATGCCAGTGGTTTGCGTGGTTTCCGCTGTACAAATTTGGAATTATGTTGGTCAAGGTGTTCTTTATGCTATAAAAATCACAGAATTCACTCTAGCTATTATGCAGTTTTCTCCGGCTTTATTTTGATTGCCTGATCTAATTTTCAGTTAGGACAAGTAAACTGCCTTTGTTTTCTAATTTGAATAGTCTAGTTAGTGGATTAAATCTCTGCCCTTTAATTGGCTACATTTACTTTTTTGTAATGCAAGTTTACTTTGTTCCACTTTGCAACACATTTTCTGGGGCACACTAACCCTTACAAAAATATAAAATACAAAGTTTTCTTTCTTGCTCATTATTACACACAGCCATGTTCAATCATTCAACTGTTTGAACATCATTGGTCGTCCTACATATGAGCAAAAAAGTAGTATTCTCTCAGGCCTCTCTCAAATGGAAAAAGACCCCACCAAAATTGTAGAAGTCCTTGCTGAAGGCAATGTGAAGATAAGCTGTTGGGGTGTGATAAAATTCTTGCAAATATTTCAAGAGATGCCTCACCAAAGAATTCAGCCAGAAGTGGATATCCACCTCTTGCTATTATCCACTGTGAAGCTGAATTTTAACGACAGGGAAATGGGATGCAACAATGAGTAGACTTAATTACAGCTCACTAGGAGGACCCTTCTTTGATTTGGGTTCAGTTATTGGAGCAAAAGGTCAGACACATGCAACAAAAGCTTGTTTGGGTGCAGTCAGGAACAAAGTGCCACTAAATTGATGAAGGTCATGACCAACGCTTGCTTGTTTTCTATATTTCTCTCAAAGCCATAACATGTCATAAATTACTGTGTAAAATTATTCCACTGAAATTTTTATCAGCAAATATAGTTTGTTGCCACATTTAAGACCCACATGTACTAAGCAATAATTGGCTGGCTGTATATCTCCCACAGGAACCTTATGTGAGAAAAAGATACCCTGAATTTCTGAAGATGAAAATCATTTGATGTCAACCAAAAAAGTATGGTGTAAACTAGCATAGTCACTAGTAGGTGTTACACCATCATCACCTCACTCAGTCCAGTGTCTGTATTCTGCCATAGATCTTAACTTTGGAAAATAATGAAACAATGTTCATGCACATGTAACCACAAACAAAAAGCTATTATTATAATAGTCACTGTATTAAACTGTACATTCAAAAACAAAAAAGATTTTAAACATATTTGGCCTCTGGAGCCAAGAATTACTGTCTGTTATCCATACTAGAGAGGGTCCATATTGAAAAATATTTTTTGTATGACTGACTGACTTAATGTCTAATCCTATGGACTTATGGGCTGTACTAAATGATGCACAGACTGTTTGTCTGACTTTTGAATGGAGTGGCTGACTGACAGGCAGACTGACAGACTAACAAAGTGACTGACTAGCTTACCAATTAACATGCTTATAGACTGACCAAATTATTGAGTGACCCATCAACTGACTGACTAACTGAGTGATTGCCTGACCAAGTAAGATACTTTTTGATCAATAAACAACTAGTGCACTGACGGGCTGGCTGAGTGATTGATGGAAGGACTGAGTGATGCTCTGATTGTGTCACTCACTTCTATTGTATTGTACAATAATACTATTGATGTATTGACTTTGTGACTCACTCATACATGTATTCTTACTGGCTGACAAAATGAGTAAATGACTAATGAGGGACCACATGCCTGAGTGGTGAACTGTCTTGTGGAATGAATTATATATTAACTTGCTAACTGACTGATTTGTTAACTGGTGAATAAATAAACTGACTCCTTAAGTATTAATCATAAGTTGTAAACTGTATTTGGAGGTTCTGTGTCTGCAGGATGACCCTTGTTTCACTTATTTTCCTTTTTTGTAGTAATGCTCAAGTTATAATGAAATATTATTTTTCAGGATTCCCCATAGCTAGATGGTAACAAACATGTTCTTGTGCCTCTGATTGATTCCCTTCAGCAGAATGCCAAATTACGTTTTCATGGTGTGAGGGTAAGTTTTTAAAGGGACTACACAATGAATTCTCTTTACATTACAAGAGGTTAATTATTTGTCTAATTTTAGTATGTAGAGCCTGCTTAACGTTTTTCGTTACATAAGGTTGCTCTTAACCGTAAGTAATGATAATAATAATGCTTATAATGATAGTAATAATACTAAAATAATAATGATAATAATATTAATAATAACAATAATGCTTATGATGACAGTTATAATATTAAAAATAATAATAATATTAATAGTAACAATAATGCTTATAATGATAGTACTAATACTAAAAATAATAATGATAATTATAATAATATTAATAATAACAATAATAGGATTTAGCAGTGGACATTGCACGCAATGGCTCTTCTCTGTCCACTCTTTCCAGATCAATTTGGAATTTGGAAGTTGGTTTTTTTTGTGGGGGAGGCAAAACCGGCGGACTCGGAGAAAACCTCGGAGTAAGGTCGAGAACCAACACGTAACTCAACCCACATGTGACGTCAGGTCCAGGAATTGAACCTGGGGCCACAGTGGTGGGAGGCAAGCGCTCTCATTACTGTGCCATCCCTGCTCCCCTATATGCAGAAGACCGTAGACCTTTGCAGAAAGATGATTGAGTGAATGCAATTCAGTGAAGAGTAATGGGGGCCACTGCACTCGTTTATGAGTAACTAGCACATAAAGTTAAGGGTGATGCTATAGTAACCTGTCGTCGGGAAAATGGTCGCAAAAAGGGGGAAAAGTTGAACAGTTTTTGGTACAAGTACCGTGTTCAAGGACACACTCGAAAAAGTTTCCATGGTACAATCCATCAAAGAATTGGTATTTAAAAGTAGCGAATTCATGTAAAGCCACCTTAGGTTTAAATTATCAATCAAATAAAAATGAAATCACTCGAAAAAATTCATGAACTTTTCTTGGTAATCATTTCTTTTTAGATAGCTTAATAGGCTGTTTTACAACTTTGTTTTCTCTTAGGACACCATTGGTTTTAACTTGGCTGGGCTGTGTTTCATTCAAAACGAGATAGAAGCTAGAGAGGAGAATCTTTTTGCAAACGCGACAAAAAAAAGTGAGAAAGAGTCGGAAGAAATACAAATCGAATTTTGTATAAGTTGTGAAATAACTGTGTTAAGTTGCGTTTTTAATTATTAAAATAGTACCTTTGGAAAGGAACTGGAACATTGTCATTGCTAAGCACTTCGAAAAACTATCTGCAAAGAAAATTTGTTCCAAAAAATGAGGAACCAAAGAATGGTACCTAGGAAACGCCCCCTTTAAACATCACAACATCAAAGTAAACCCATCAAACCCATAAACGGGCCATCAGAAAAAAGGGGAATGTCGCTAGTAATGAAACTCCAAATGGAAACGTGTAACTGCCTGAAGCGCGGGAAAGCACCTACGATAAAGTCGCGTTCGGTTTTAGTCCAGCACTTCACTGGGTAATAAGGTGGGGCCAGTTTTCCACAAAAAAATCTCAGTGCGAGACTATGCAAAACTAATGCAATCTGAGATAATTTTAAACACTCAAAAATTATCCTGGTGCTTTTCCATGATTCAAATTGTATCCCCAACTGCCTCCCCAAAGCCATTTTCAGTATTTCTCAGGCCTGTATTTTGAAACGAGGGGCATGAGCGAAAAATTTCTTTTAACCTTAATGCTGGCTGTTTTCTACTAAGACGAAAAAATGTCTAGATTTTCCATTGTTTGCCCTCTTAAATCTGAAATTCAGATTCCACTTCCAAAATCCTATTGATCAGCGTACTTTTCTAGTGTAGTTGTAGCCGGAGGTTCAACTTCCCCAAAACATTATCCGAACATTTATTTCTATTTTGTAAGTTTAAACAGTACAACATCAACTTTCCGAATGATGGCAAAAGCAGCTAATCATCATATCACACAGAGATACAGCTATGACCAAACATTCGACCACGTCGCCTGACAAAGACTAGCAATATGGCATTAGAAATTGTGCGATCTCAACAAGATTGATAATGACTGAATCATAAGACAAACTTGTTTAATAAACTAACAAGGCAACTCAAGTTAAATCAGTTCCTTGAATAATTAAATTCAAAAAATTCTTATTTTCATTTATCCATTTATTTCTTTTCTTTTTTCAGTTGTATTCCATCTGAGTTCTAAAGTGTACGTAATATTTCTACGACCATATTTGTACCCTTTGAAATTTACCAAGTTCGAAATCAGGCATCATCAGGCTATCCCATTTTGTTACGTTATTGAACGACAGTAGCCGAACAGCTACTCGGTGCTTTTCGGTTTGCCTTTCAAAGTCGGAAAACTCATTTAAATTACAAATAATTTTTCACAGTTAATATTCATATTTGCCAGCAGTCTTGCACGTGGAAAGAGCGAAAGAAGTTCGAGAAATATCAGCGTCTTTTGCAGCTTTTCTGGGGCCACAAAACATATCACTTCCACCGTTATAACCTTAGATACAGTATGGTCCGTTCTGTCAAGTCCAGCGTGTGTTTCTTCGTTCGAAGTTGCTTAGTAAGGTGGCTCAAATCCGACGTCGAGGATTGATGGAAGTCATTTTGTTTCGAATTTTCCCGAAGTACGTAACTTAAGTATGAATACACATTTAATATAAGTACAGTGTCTCGCCGTTGCCCTCGAAAATCAGGTCAAACTGCAGAACAAGGTACAAAAAGGAAGAGTATAGGGTACAGAATAAGACTACTTCTCAACTGCAGCCGCCATGACAGTTCTTATTGCAGCATGGAACTTTTTGGAGCAACAGTGAGAAATTGTTAATCTAATGTTAGATTATTGATATTTGTGTGCGTATCCATCGCTTTTTGTTTCTATACTCGTTTTTACTCTACATGCAATCATTTATGCCCACAGCATGTCAAAATTAAATTTGCTGTCAGTGGGCTTATTGATTCCCTGACACACAAGGTTTAAACTTAGGCGACGTCATTGTGTAATGCACTTCAGCGAGAAAATTCCACTCAACAATGTCCCTCTCCATCCAGGAATAAAAGTCATTTAAATAAATACCAGTGAACTGTCGAAGAAATCTAACAAAATACTTAAGGGAGCTCGGCTCATCCAGGAGAAGAAGCGGAGGCTCCAAGTATCTTCACACCTCACTTAACAGAATATGCTCCATTAGCAGCAATGGATGTCATAATTAGTTTTGTGTGCACGGATTGGCTTTTATCTCGCATCGCTTTTCAGAGGATTTCGAATGTAACTTTACTTCACCGTTGTTTGAGTTCTTTCGATCTACACAACAATCTTTATTATACACGGTAAACTGAAGTACATGTATTTAATTTTAGATGAGTATACTCCTATTCGAAATCGATTTGAACTGTATCTTGTATTTTCTTTCTCTCTTCAGCACAACATCAAGCATAGAATGAGAACAGCTCGAAATAAGACATTCGAGGAAGGAAATAGAAACTTGAGAATTTTTTCTAAGGTAAGTTTTTCAATTTTTTCAAAACGAATTAGGCGCTTGTACGTCTTATCTGTTTTGAATGCTTTCACTCCTTAGATCTCAACAGTAATTCTCCTTACTGTCTTTCATACAATTCTTATGATGTTAGTTTGGAGAATTTGGTGTTGGATCAACCAACAGTCCCCTTGATATTTTTCTCTGTTCTCATCAGTTGTCTTTTCGACATTAATAATAAATAGCTAATGATTATCGTGCATGAAAATACATCTAACTTACCTAGTGTAGCGACAGTTTAGCATATCAAATAT